GGGGCTCTCTGCTGCGGGTCGCTGTTCCCGGCGTCGCGTTTACCCCCGCCGCGCCTGTCCGGCCGGTGCTGCAAAGCACGCAGTTCCCTGCTCTGCGCCGCCGCCAGCCGCACTGCGGACCACCCGGGCCCAGCCTCTGGCCTTCATGCGCAGAGCCCCTTCTTATTCACCCTCCACGCTGGGCCCAGGGCGGTGGTCAGCCCAAGAAGTGCCAAGGGAAGGACGCCCCTGAGTTGGTGGGATCCCATGCTAGAGCTGTGCAGACACGTGCGCGAGTGGAGGTGGGACAGTGAACGCCGGCAGGCTGGGCAGAGGCGGACTCAATTGAGAACCTGCATCTCCACTTCCTCTTGTGTGACTAGGGTCAGGTCTTCGAGGCCTGCTTCTCCTTCACCTATGGACTCGGTGAAATGATCCAGCACTGTGCATGGCACTTATGAGGTGGTCACCAGTTGACAGAACCTCTGAAGTAGTTTTAGTCGTTAAGAAGCAAGGCCTTTCTAGAAGAGTTCAAATCCTGGCTACCTCTTGAAAACTGGGAAACCGCGAGCAGATCACTGGATGGAGCCATACAGCCTTGATTTTCGCGTTTGCAAACGGGAAAGTGGGAGGGACAGTACTTCACAGGGCTGCCTGAGTTTTCAGGGAGCTTAATGCGCAGGGAGATATATGCACTTCCCTTAGCACAATGCCTGGCACACAGGCTCTCTGAGATTCACTGGTGTAATCCCTGTCCTATCCATCCGAGAATCCTAAAAGTTTACTGAAAGGGGCTCTGCTCCCAACCCCTGTGGTATAATTAGCCGGGAGGGGTTCACCCAACCTTGGGGTTTCGGGGACTCTTTCTCAAACCTCTCCAAAAACCCTAAAGTTGGCAGAGGAACAATAGAAGTGAACATTTTCCCTACTAGAGAAAACAAGAGTCTTCAAGAGTCTCTTAGAACTTGTAAATGGTTGTATTTATTAGTCTGGCCTTTTTCAGATCAATTGACACAAACCCCAACCTGGAGTAAAACAAAACAAAACAAAAAAACACACCTGATCACATAATTGAGAAGTCCTGAGTGGTGCCTTGCTTCAGGCATAGCTGGATCTGGGAGTTCAACCCAAACTCAGTCTCCAGTCTGTCTTGGGTCTTGCTACTCATCTTCATGTAGTTCTTTCCTCGTAGTGGCCATGTAGCTCCTAGCTACATCTACCGAAGACAGCAGAGGCTGCTTCCCAGTACAGGTTGAGCGTCCATTATCTGAAATTTTCACAAGTGTCTCAGATCTTTTTCCTTTTTTTGGCGAAGCCTTATTATGCAGTTCAAGCTGTCCTTAAACTCGCTGTCCATCTTCCAGTCTCAGCCTCTCTAGGAGCACTGGGGTTACAGACATGCGCCACACCTGCCTGAGTCTCAGCTCTTGATTTTGCAATATTTGCAAACATGAGATATGGTGAGGAAGCAACCCAAATCTAAACATGAAAAATTCATTTATGTTTCATATATCTTATACCCACAGGCTGAAAGTAATATTATATGCGGTAATATTTTTAATAATTTTTTCATGCAGTTTCATGATATAGGACTTTCCACATGACCTAATGTCAGCGGTCAAAGTTTTGGATTTTGGAGCATCTTGAATATTCTGATTAGAGATATTCAAGCTATAGTTCCAGCCAGAGTCCCAGAGTTTTTTATTGGTCCCGTGTGGGCCACATGCCCATATCTGAGCCAGTCACAATAAGATCAGCTAGACCTGACTAGTATACGTACAGGAGTTGGGGTCATTCCCTCCAGGACATGGGAAGAAACAAGAAGCAGGATGCCTTCCAGTGAAAAATAGGGAAACAATTACCACATGAAGCACTGGGCAGAGGCTGGCACAAATAAAAACTATCAAGTGCACCATTATGTAGGTAGGCAGGGCATCCACCATGGAGCTACCTGCCTATTCTACAAAAGGGAGTGTTACTTTACCCCCAGGAAAATGACCTCCACCTCTGCCCCACCACCCACCTCAGGCTTGGCATTTCCCAAATCTGCTTACTCAAAGGCATCCCAGTGATGATACAAGTACTCAGAAAAAGAGCTGACAATATGTTACTTCCTGCTGAAGCACTTTCTGCCTCCCTCTGCTTAGGCATGTGGCTCTCCCACTAATGAAGGCTAACAAATGAAGAACCCCTTGTCATATGCCAGGCACTTTGTGGATCTTCCACTGACTCTTCACCATGTCAGTAGAGGTTTGGTACACTTACTGCATCCATTTTACACATAAGGAAACAAAAGCTCAGTAATTTTAAGTGACCCACCCAAAGGTAATATGAGGAAGCATAGAGCTCGGGTTAGCACAATATTGTTCCCATCACTGATGTTGCCACTCCACTACCATTTTGCTCATGTTTCCAAGTCCTCCAGGTAAGAGGCCAGTGGAAGGAGTCCCATAGCAGAAGAAACTTCTACAGAACCCCTTCAGCTTCTGTAGTGGGGAGCAGGCACTCAGCTTTACTACTGACCCACATACACATACACACCATGACTTTGAGGAATAGGGAAAAAAAGTTCCTCCCAAAAGAAATCAGACTGCCGGGCATGGTGGCACATGCTTGTAACCCCAGCACTCAGGAGGCTGAGGCAGGAGGATCGTGGTGAGTTCAAGGCCAGCCTAGGCTACATAGGGAGTTCAAGGCCAGCCTGAACTACATAGTGAGATCCTGTCTCAAAAACAAAACCACAAAACAAAAACAAAACCCACAAAATTTTCTTACAGTTCTATGGGTCAGAAAGCTATAAAAGGTTGGCTGATTCCTTCAGGAGTTCTCATGGGAAAATCCATTTCCTTGCCTTTTCAGCCTCCAGTGGCCCGCTGTACTCTTTGGATGGGGGAGTCATCACATCAGTGTGTCAGTCATCACATCACTATCTGGGCTCATTTTCACTCCTCTGCATTCCTCAAAAGACCCTTGCAATATGGGCCCGAGGAGTAAGACAGGAATTAATAGTCCTGTCTCAAGATCCTTAATAACTTCAGTGGAGTCCCCTCTGCCATGTAAAGTAAGATGTTCCTGGGTACTGGGATTAGGGTGAGGACACTTACTGAGGGCAATTATTCAGCATACCATGGCAGGTATCAGAGGGAGCTAAGACACAGTGCTATGGACACAGAAGAGCTGATGAACTCTACCCCAACAAGGAAAACACCCTTAAAAAAACAAAAACACAGCCTCACATTATTTCAAATGGGCCAAAGCCCACTTAACCTGGCAATCTCAGCCTCATTCCTTTAAATATTCAAACCAACTAAATCCCCACTAGTTCCCCTCAGAAAGCTTGTACACCCTTCCAATTAGCAAACTCACTTCCCCTAGTGCCAGGGTCAACAGCTGTGTGCTCTTGACTCTGTCCTGGAAGGCAAAGGGCATCTGAACCATGGTGCTCAATCCATGGCATAGCCAGTGAGTTACAATGTGGTCTAACACCAGCCAGGTAAAGTTACCAAAGAGGCAAATCACAGCCAGGTATGGGGGCACATGCCTATAATTCCAGTATTCTGGGAGGCTGAGGCCCAAGAATCACAGAGTAGATAACAGCACTTTAGCAACTTAGGGAGACCCTGTCTCAAAATTTTAAAAAGGGCTGGAGGATGTGGTTCCACCCTGAGTACTGAAAAGAGAAGGACAGGAAAAGGATATGATCAATGGATCAGAAAGAGACAAACAGGAGCCAGCTATTAGAGCTGCCTGTATACCCGACAGCTCCCAGGCCCAGCCATCTGTCTCTGAAACAAATCTCTCCCATGAAATAACAAGTGGACTCCAACTTCCACACATCAGTGCGCTATCCCTGCAGCCAGCCTACAGGAACTGAATAAACTTGATGGGCAGACAAGAAAATGCTTCTTTTGGCAGTTCGTGTTCTTTATAATTAACCAGACTGGCATTTAGGATTCAACATCAGTCTCTTATGAGATTTGTCAGTGTGAGTGAACATCCCTGAATCTGAATATAAAAGTGAGAAGGCAGTATTAGTTTTTGAGTAGACAAGACCTGGGTTGAGTCCCAGCACTACCACTTACCAACTGTGTGATGCTGGAAGAAATTACCTTACTTCTCTAACTCTGGGTTCCTCATCTATAAAATGTGAGTGGTTGGAAGACCTCGCTTATATGATCACTGTGAGGACAAGAACAGCCAAAAGTAGGCTTCACAGAGACTCCCTAATCATTACTAGGTCAACATGACATGCCCACACACCTGACCTCCATGTCTAAAATCCAAACAGTTTTGAAAAATGAGTCACCTATATCTCATTTGGCAGAAAGACAAACATGAATTGAAAGCCTCCTTCTATTTCCCTCTATCCCCTTATTGTGAAAATCTAACATTGAAATATCAATGTATAAGGTTACAGGAATGAAAGCTGGGCGTGGTAGTGCACACCTGTAATCCCAGCACTCGGGAAGCTGAGGCAGGAGGATCATTGTGAGTTCGAGGCCAGCTTGGGCTACATAAGAGAGTTAAAGGCCAGTCTGGACTACATAGTGAGACCCTGTCTCAAAAAAAGAAGAAAAAAAGGTTACAGGAATGAAATGAGCATTTACAGATAATACATAGTAGAACTGCCCTACCACCTTCCTAAAATGAGAAAAACTGAATTTGCCAACTTACTCAGTGCTAAAATGTCAAAGACAGTGGAAATGTATCTTTAACGGGGTGAGGAAGGGAATTTAACACTGGCCCATGACATATGCGTCAAGGTACCTGCCATTTCTTGGGCTTGGTGGCAGCTGCCACTACAAACTCTACCCGAACCCCCCTCTGCCTCTTCTCAGTGACCTTCTAAGGGGCCCTCAGAGTTCATTTTCAGCTCTCACAGACTAAGAGGGTGGCAGCCTACGAAACCAGCCCGGTAACAACTGTCAAGGTAAGGTTCCACATGAAAGGCACACAATAACTTCTAACACTTAAAAAAAAAAAGGCATTCAGAACTCAAGCATCAATCATAAGCACAAAGCCCAAGTTCCACCAGATTTTTAATTGTATACCAATGATTGTAGAAAAGCACTCATTCCCATAATTAAAATAGCAGCTATAAAAAAAAAAAAAGACTTAAAGAAACAAGATGACAGCAGAGTAAAAGAAGAGACATTTCTTTCACGTTCCAATCAGTGTTCATGACACAGCAGCACACACAGCCCGGTACTTTGTGGCTTGGACGTCCCCAGCTTCTGCTTCGAGAGGTCGCTTTCGACTAGTGGAAGGCTGCAAATAAAGAGAGAAAAAGGGAGAAATGTCAAAAAGAAAACCATCAGCTTCTATCAAAGATTTCTAAAATGCTGCCAGTAAAGTGGGGGCGTAACAGCCCTCTGGACTTGGACAAGTTTATCTACTTGTCATTTTTCTCCCTTGTGGCTTCTAACCACTTAATGATGCACACACAGTTTGACTTTGAATTTTTTTGGTTTTTTTGAGTCAGGGTCTCACTCTGTAATTCAGGTTGGCCTTGAAGTCACTGTAATCCTCCTGCCTCAGCCTCCTGAGTGCTGGGATTACAGGCATGCACCACCACGCCCAGCTTGACTTTGAGTTTTTGCACGTACAGTGATGCACAAGCATTACACAGACAGTAGAAAATGAACTTCAAATTTGGATCTTTTGTTGAACTAGCAATATGCAGTACGAAACTCTCGAGATTAAGAGGGGAAACCTATACACAACTGTGTACTGTGTTGCTAAACTAGGATGTTCAATAGTTTAGGTGTATTAAATGCATTTTTGATTTAAAATATTTGCAGCTTAAAAATGGGTTTACCAGGGCCGGGTGTGGTGGTGCACACCTGTAATCCCAGCACTTGGGAAGTTGGGCAGGAGGATCATTGCAAGTTTGAGGCCAGCCTGGATTAGAAAGTGAGTTCAAGGCCAGCCCGGACTACATAGCAAAACCCCATCTCAAAAAGACCAGGTGTGGTGGCGTACTTCTGTAATCTCAGCACTCAGGAGACTGAGGCAGGAGGATCACTGTGAGTTCAAGGCCAGCCTAGGTTACATAAGCGAGTTCAAGGCCAGCTTCTACTACACAGCAAGACCCTGTCTCAAAAAAAAAAAAAAACCCTCTATTTGAAGCCATCCCCCAAAACCTTGCTCTTTTATGGAAGATAATCTTTTGTGCTTTAGTTCTTTCCCCACTTATAAAATTAGGAGAGAACAGTAGAAAAAAAGAAGAGACATCATTCACCAAATAAAAACAATTCCAGGGCCAGAGATGTAACTGAGTTGTACACCACTTGCCTAGCATGCCCAAGGACCATGGTTCCATCCCCAGCACTATAACAACAACAAAACAAGAAAAAGAAACAGGAGGATAGGAGTGACAGTAATTTATACTTACAAAAAACTGAGAAGAAAAACATAATCAAGAAATCAACCCGTTGCCCAAATCTTAAATTTTCTTTTTTTTTTTTTGGAGACAGGATCTTGCTTTGTAGTGCAGGCTTTAAACTCACTATGTAATCCAGGTTGGCTTTGAATTTTGCAGCAACCCTCCTGCCTCAGCCTCCCAAGAGCTACAATTATAGGTGTGTGTGACTATGCCCCGCTACATTTTCCAACAAATTTAAATTTGAAGCTCTAACAGAATGCTCGATCTTGCCTTGCAGGAAAGCTTTTGACAACCTCTAGCTGTGCTCCTCTAATGCATTTAAGATCCCCTGACTTAAATCTTATAAAGATGCTGGAGCAGCTAAGAAGAAACAAAGTATCTACTACATTATAAATCACACACACACTTAGGATTGAACCCAAGGTCTATGCATTGAGCTACACCTCCAGTCCTTTTTCAATTTTTAATTTTGAGACAGAGTCTCACTAAGTTGCTAAGTTGCCCAGGCAGGGCCCAAACTTTTGATCCTCCTGCCTCAGCCTCCCAGGGTGCTGGGATAACAGGTGTGTATGACTTTCTAGATTTCTAATTTACATTTAGTGGTCATTAAGAGGAATACCTGGGGCGTGACCTGGGGTACAGCCAACGGCTTATTTTCCTCGGCCAGTAGATTCTGAAACTTTCTCTTCATGTCCTCATCCTGTGAAGAAATTAAAAACCTAAGTAGGCGGTACACGACGGAAAGGAAGACCCCATGATGACAGGGCTATTGCTCACCTGTCTCCTCGCAGTGGTCTCAGAGCAGTCTGTGCTCAGTCAGCACTGGCTGACCCAAGGCCATGTGCCCAAGGGCTCTCAGTGGGTCAGAGAACTGCAAACATTAGCAGTTGAGACTTTAAACCCAGCATCCCAGGTCCTGAGAGAGATGACAATCAGGAGGCCTAAGTGTGGAGCTAATACCATGCAGCTTCCTGAATCCTTCTAGATCCCTCCCTCCCTTTGCCACCACTGAGGCCAGTGACCCAGGCCATCCTAACTCACTCAACACCCTAAGAAAATTATCCAGCATGTGTTGTACAAGTTGCCAAAAGGACCTGAAGCCCACAGTATCCCAAGCTCAGGTCTAACAAGAAAGGACAACAGTGAACAGGGCAGAGCATTACAGGTGTTTCATGCTAGGGGCTGGAGGGAGGCAAACAGAATGCTTGCCCAGATGTATTTGCTCACAGGTCCCACCTACCAGGATGCCTAATACTACACATTCCAGGATGTGCATTTGGTACTGTTCACCCCATCTTTGGAAATGCAAAACATTTATAGTAGGGAAGTGGGCACTGGGGTAGCCAGGAGCCAACCTCGGTCTCTCACAAGTGGCAGGTACTGAACAGACCCACAGCAGTAGGATTCCAAAGCCTCGTGTACTTTCCAACCCAACCCCACCTCCTCTCTATTCTTCCCACTAAGCCAAATGTACCATGATGGTTAGACACAGGAACACAGGCCTTCAACATTCACAAATTCATGCATAGCGCAAAATGACAGTGCCGGAAGACCAGCAATGAGTTCATCTCTCCTCTACCTAGCAGCCAGACCCACCTGCAGCTCCCATCACATTGTCTTACTAAGTCACTTGGCAGAGGCCCCCACACCGATTTTGGCAACACCGACCACGGCTGGATTCCCCACTCTGCTCTCTCAGAGGCCTTATGATCTCACTTCTCATGCAGTGTCGCTCTCCAAAGTCACCCCTCTTTTGCCCCCATACCCATTCATGTCACAGCCTCCATCTACCTCACCTCCTTCTGCCCTTCTGCCAGAGCCCTTTAGTGGGGCCAGAGTAACATAGAATCTATGGAAGCCTATGTCTATAAGTCATCAATTAGCAATAATATGAAAAAGTTTATGGTTAACACAGGTAACACAGTGTATCTGTAACATCTTTCCTTTGAGAGATCCACAATCTACTCAAAAAAATTAAGCCAGTATGGTAGCACACACCTGTAATCCCAGCACTCAGGAGGCTTAGGCAAGTTGATTGCCACAAATCTGAGGTCAGCCTGAACTACATATACATAGTGAGTTCAAGGCCAGCCTGAACTACATAGTAAGGTCATGTCTCCAAAAACCAAAAAATAATGTTAAAATTAAATAAATTAAACATTAAATAAAATTAAATTATACTATCCCTCAAAGATCAAGAAAGAAGGAATCTCTATTTTAATAAACATAAAGCAGAAAGAGGATATAAGAAATTCTCCCCTAACTGGACAATGTTAATAATATAACAGACACAAGAATTCACATTCCCAATGCTCAGCCCACTGCCAGACTCGCAAAATCTTCGGAGTACTTAACGATACTTTCAAAAATAAGTAAAACCTAATCATTATGAATAACTGTTTTCAGATAGCTAATCTGCACTCGCACATACGGTAGACAGCTAATCTGCATCCTCTCCTTCACACCACCTTTGGCTGCAAAAAATGTGTACAAAAGAGCATTCACAGGAGAATGCTGTATTCACCTTTTGCTTGGTTCTGAATAACAGACTCTGGTGGCTCGTAAATTTCAGGCAGACGTGAACACTATTCCCAAACCTCACTGGCCAGCTCCATTTTTTCCAAGCCTAACCCAGCTCCTCTACCTCTACAGTGGACCCCCAAGCCTTTCCCTATTAGGACACATGAAAGGAGCCAAGAGGCGTGTTTCTCTTTTTCCATGAAAATCAAATCCCCACATGCAAAGGCACCCTTTGTTTCCAAACTCATTTTCTCCAAGGTCCTGCTGTTTTAAATCTGTGTGGTCTATTAAATACTAAATCATCTGACAGATTTCTTCCGGGGGGACTGCAGTTTCCAGGGCAACATCCAAAACACACATCTGCCCACCTCCCATCCCCCTTTTATTCTTTCTTTCTTTTAAGGATTTGTTGTTCTCAACCTGAGCTGGCCTGAGCAAAACTGTTAGGTATGCAGGACTGCAAAAGAGAATAGGGACAGTCTTCCCAGGGGCCCAGGCTGGATTGCCCATGAATTCCTGGACCAATATCCCCTGAGTAACTGCTTCTAAGTCAAGCTATCTGAGCCCAGCATCACATAATACAAAGAGACCAAAAGAAAGTTAACAGAAAGAGGCCGGCTGTGCTGCGTAGAAATGTTCGGAACAAAATATCAGACATGCATCAGAAAATTTCCCCGATGCTGTAGCTAATTCCAAAGCCAAAGATGAACAGAGCGAAGACACCAGGGCGTACAACTCTGACAGCTCTGAATGAGGTCAGCTAATGATCAAACGGCGGCCACAACTCACAGCATAAACACAGAGGTAACGCAGACAGGAGAGGCACAGGTGACAGCCCACACTAATGGCATGCTTACTCCCCAGGAGCACAAAGTGGGACCCCTTCTACCCAGTCAAGTGGGCTTCCAAAACAGCTGGGTTCTCTCTTGGGAAGCTGCCCTGACTGAAGGCAGAGGATGGCTGGAATGCAGCTCAGCCCACCCCACCTGCTGGAGGGGGTGGACTCAGAACAATCTCTCAAAACACACAATCAGACTAAGCTCAGGGCAGCCAAGTGGAACCAGAGCAAGCCACAAAGTGAGTGTGTCCATCCCACATCCATAGATAACAGGAGAAGGGATGCACGTCCCAAACACCCACCACACCCCATATACCCTACACTTGATAGAAAACAGTTACACAAACAGAACCAGCAACACAAAAGGTTTGTGTTTCCGCACTCTTCCTCATTGTGCTCTTCCTCACCTCACTCAGGAAGTTTGGTCAAGGGCTTCCCATTCATTTCATACAAGGGGACACCACCCCACACCCACCTGAAGCCAGGGATGACCTAACGCTTCTTCTGTCGTAAACCGTGCCTTCGGGTCCACAACCAACAACTTCTTGACAAGGTCCAGAGCTAAAGTGAAAGAGAATTGGGCAAAGTAAAAAGGATAAATACATAAAAGCAGCAATATAAAAGTATGAAAGAATGACAGGCCACCATCCAGAAAGAGAAGATGGTCATGGAGTCAGCAGAGAGAGTGGACAGCACCTCCCAATCCTCCTCGCTGTGTGTTCAGAGGACTCTCAGCACCGGGAATGACAACAATGCCTCCATCTTTCCCTGCTGGGTCAACATAAGCTCTCAGGTCCCTGTTTCCTTTCTCGTTGCTGGACTCACATTCAGACTAATTAAAAACTGACTTCCGCCCAGTTCTCTGATAATCAGAATGCACAGATACACTTTCCTGAGACCCACAGATAGATAGTGAATCCCTTAGCCAGAGAGAGCTCCCCGGAATTGTAGGCTTGTCAGAAAAAAAAACCTGACAACTGCAGTAAGCAACAACTTCAGGCTAACTTGCATACTGCAAAAATACTATTCCTTAAGTATAGTGACATTTACCCAGGTGTGGTGGGCCACACCTGTAATTCCAGCACTCGGGAGGCTGAGGCAGGTGGATCACTGCACGTTGGAGGCCTGCCAGGGCTACACAGCAAGTTAAGGACAGCCTGAACTGCCTAACGAGAACTTGTCTCAAAAAAACAAAAAAGAAGAATGAAACATATGCCTTAAACATTCTGACATTTCACAGAATCACCTATAATACATTACTGGACATTTTATTTTAATATACTTTTTCTTCAGGGAGTTACAAGTTTGCATTTTTAAATTATAAAATACAGGTAATTAATGATGTTGCCCTTTTACATTCTATTTACTCAAAGAAAAGCTTATAATAAAAAGTTATTTATTTTGTACCCTAAACAGGTAGGTACCAAGCACTTGTGTACATTATACTTAATCCTCACAAAAGTCCTTTGGCAGGGGTCTCTGAAAGCCTCTTTACAAGTAAAGAAAATGAAGACTCAGAGAGGTTAGATAACTTGCCTAAGGTCACACAGCTAGGAAATACCACACCCAGGACTTGAGTTTAGATTCTGGAACCCACATTCATAATTTCCTCTGCTCAAATGATACAAAACAGAAACTAAGAACAGAGTCAACAGGAGAAAACACCATAGAGTTGGAAAAGAAACTCCCACCAACAGCACACTCGCATTTTAATAAACCACAAATTCTTAACCCTTTCGTATCCATACCCTTCTCTGAGACATCTGCCCAGACTTCAGGAATGAAGGTGTACTTTCCACTGGTGATCTGATCCTTCAGTGACACTTGAGTCTTATGCTCAGAGAAAGGTGGATACCCACTAAGGCTTAACATTGGTAGAGAGAGAAAGGAAAAGAAATCAAGTGGTATTCTCAGCAGCATTCCAATGTATAGATTTCTTTTTCAGCATAACAAAAACTCAGGTTTTTCTTTAAATCAATGACCAAAAAATGACCTAAGTTAAGCTCTCTACCTGGACACATTTATGATTTCATCTAATCACCTCCAACCACAGAGTGAAGTGATAAAAACTTTTCTTACCAGATGAAAAGAATAACTCCTAAACTCCAGCAGTCCACAGCTCGGTTATACCCCGTAGTCCCAACAGAAAGAAGAACCTCAGGAGCCAAGTAAGTGGGGGTACCACATAAAGTTCTCATGAGAGAGGTCTCCCCCAAAATCTTGGACTGCCCAAAATCAGTAATCTACAATTAAGGACAAAAGAAATCATTTTTAACAATCTCATAAAATAATTATAATCTACATGCAAATTAGATTATATAATTATAATTGTCACTATGCTTAAGTGATATATAATCTTACATATAAAGACATGTAAATTCAGACATGTAAAAATTGAAGTTTTTACTGTACAGCTCATTCAGTTAATCTGAAACCCACAAATACATACCCTTAGGGTTGTTTTAGGTTTCTTTTCTTTTCTCCTTGAGATAGGCTATCACTATGTAGTTCAGGCTGGCATCAGACTCACAGGGATCCTCCTGCCTCAGCCTGCCAAGTGCAGAGATTATAGGTCTGTGCCACCATGCCCAGTATTTTTTTGGATTTTTTGAGACAGGATCTCACAGTGTAGCTAGGCTGACCTCAAACTTGCAGTGATCCTCCTGCCTCAGCCTCCTGTGTGCTGCAATTACACATGTGGCCCACCACCCGATGGCTACAAATTCCTCTTTGAAAGCTAAGGTATTTAATTTTACTTACAATAAAATCCAAGCCAGGCGTGGTGGTGCATGCCTGTAATCCAAGCACTCAGGAGGCTAAGGCAGGAAGATCACCAAGAGTTCAAGGCCAACCTGGATTACATAAAGTTCAAGGCCAATCTAAACTACATAGTGAGTCCCTGGCTCAAAAAGCCAAAAAATAAATAAAATCCATGAAGCTGGGATGGCCCCACACATCTGTAATCTAGGTACTGGGGTGCTGAGGCAGGAGGATCTCAAATTTAAGACGACCTTGGGCTGAGTAGTGAGTTCAAGACTGGAATAAATCTCTGAGCATAAGAACCTCAAGACACAGGTCTCCTAACTTACCTCTGGTTCTTTATAACCTTATAACTTTTTATAACAAAAGTTATAACCCCTGCCACAAACACTGTAGGATTCAAAGTAGTTATCCCTGGTTCTTTTTAGACCTCAGATTTCCAAACTTTACTATCCACAAAATATCTAGGGAGCTTGGGGGGGGAATATATATATATATATGAATATATGATAAATAAATGTACATAATATATAATATATAAATATAGATGTATATTATCACCCTCTGATTCTGAGGTACAGCCTGGGTGCTTTTCGTTTGTTTGTCCTTTTAAAAATTCTAATAAGCAATTCTAAAGTGAAACCAGGCTTGAGGAAGAAGACAAGGCAGGCTACGTGCCTTCACTCATCCACTCAGACCTCCTCTCTCACAAGTGGCTTGTGCACAGTGAAGCTCCACAGATACTCATTACACTCCAAAGCACAGCAGTACCATCTGATTTCTACAGTAATTGCTAAAAGAGGAAAGGTCAGAGTCTCAGCCCTTTTATGCTCTCATTTTTTAACCTGATGAATTAAAAAAGTTTCTGAGCAGAAATCTACCAGAATAAGGGGCTGGGGATTTAGCTCAGCGGCAAAGCGCCTGCCTGGCAAGCGCAAGGTCATGAGTTCAGTTCCCGGTACCAGAGAAAAACCAAAACCAAAAAAAAAAAAAAAAAAAAAAAGAAATCTACCAGAATGGCCACATGTAGAACATAAATTTCTTACCTTTATAAGACAGTCGTCTTCTTGAGATGACAGTAAAACATTCTCTGGCTTTAAATCCCGATGTATAATCCCATTTTCATGAAGGTACTACACAGAAAGGGAGGTGTGATCCTTAGATTTATACAGTGGATATGTGAGTACAGACATATATCTTAGTCTGGGTAGAACTAAATGCTCTTATATATAATTACATTTCTTGAAATCATAGAAAACTGCTAGGTAAACAGGTTAGTTCATAAACTTTCCTGAATATCCTTAAACAGCAGAAAAATTTTAAAAAGCAACTTAGAATGATAATTTTTATAATTTATAATTCAAGAAAATAAATATTTCCTTCCTATTGGTAGAGATATAAGGTATCTGTCTTAATAAAATAAAAAAAACTTTTGAGATAGGGTTTACCTTTGTAATGCAGGCTGGCGTTGAACTCACTATGTACCTCAGGGCTGGCCTGGAACTCACAGGGATTCCCCTGCCTCAGCCTCCCAAGTGCTAGGATTACAGCATGCACCACCACACCCAGCTCTAATTAACATTTAACTGAGCTGGGTATGATGGCACATGTCTCTATCCCCTCTATTTGGGAGGCTGAGGTAGAGGACTGCAAATCCAAGACCACCCTGGGAAACTTAATAAGACCCTGTACCAAAAATTATATATATGGAAGGCTTCATACATTCTAGGTAAGTACTCTACCACTGAACTCAGTGTTCCCTGGATTCAATCTCCAGTACAGTGGAAAAAAAAAATTAAATGAGTAATAGAAAATTATTTTGAAAACACACCAAAATAACCATAAAAATTCCACCAAGATAATATATTTGGTTATTCCAGTCCTAAAAATATATTTTTACCTGCGTGTGGTGACACATGCCTGTAGTCCCAGCCCTCAGGAGGCTGAGGCAGGAGGAGCACCACAAGTTTAAGGCCAGCCTGAATTACAGAGAAAGACCCTGCCTCAAAAATAAATAAATGCCAGGCATGGTAGCACATACCTGTAATCCTAGCATTTGGGAGGCTGAGGCAGGAGAATCGCTCCAAGTTTGAGGCAAGCTTGAGCTACACAGTTGAGTTCAAAGTCAGCCTAAACTACATACTGAGACCCTGTCTCAAAACATCAACTAGCCAGAGCCAGGGATATAGCTCAGCAACACAGGGCCTGCCTGGCAAATGCAAGGTCCTTAGTTCAATTCTTGATACCCCCCCAAAAAAAACAAAGGAAAAAACCAACTAGCCAACCAAATAAATAAATGATTTTATATATTTGGAAATTATCTGTGCAAATACCCAGAATTAACCTATTCTTAGATGCAAAGCCTGACTCTAATGTTTGAAAACTCTATGATCTGAAATAGCATATAAAAATGAACACATTACGAGGCATAGTGGCGCACACCTATAATCTCAGTACTCAGGAGGGTGAGGCAGAAGGATTGCTGCAAACTGGAGGTCAGACTGTGCTATATAGTGAGTTCAAGGCCAGCCTGAACTACAGAGCAAGACCCTGTCTCAAAAAACTGGAAAAAATTTTTTAAAACACACAAAACATCAATATATCACGTCATACTGCGTTAGGACTCAGAAATGTACCATATCCAACACCTTCCTATTGTTGTTCAGTAAGTCTAAAGGAGGAAGGGAATAAACGAAAAAGGGAGCCAAGCATTGGATAGGTGACAGCTGCCATAAAAAAAACAGCTTTTGTGCTGGAGGGCTAGCTTGGTGGTGGAACGCTTGCCCTGCATGCACAAGGATCAGTCCCTGGGCTCAATCTCCAGCACTGCAAAACAAAATAGTTGCAGCCTTCTGTAATATTTCCCTGCTAAGGGAAAATTCTTCCCAAAAACTTCCACTAGGAAATAGATTTGGGGAGAACTTCACAGGAGACAAATCCAGCTGGACAAACCCCAGAAAAATCTCCCTCAATCCCAGAGCTGCTCCCACGTGAGGCACTTCCAGCACGGAGTTGTTTCCAGTCAGTTTGTGTCTTCAGGACACGGGACTAAGCCCACGGATTCATGCATTCTGGGCAAGTGCCCTAGCCCTGAGCTGGAGCCCCAGCTACCCACCAAGTGGGTTTTCAGAAGAAACTGGCAGGGAATCACCAGACCCAAACTGGGTTTAGAAAATGGTGATGCCCACAAAGAAAACTGTCGCCAGCTGTTCCTCCATCAACACCCTCAGGAGAGAAGGCTGTGCGTGTGCCCTGCCCACCTGCCACAGAATCGCAAACCACCCATCCCCAACCAGCCCAACTCATGACTCAGGCCTGCCCAGCTCCCACTCTGAGAACTAAGGGGCATTTCTACAAGGATCAAGCCAGTATAGCAATCAATGCTCCTTCAGAAAGACCTCCAAACTAGAGAGGAGAATGGGCCTATGTGTTCCTTTCTTTAGATTCCTTGCTCCCCACTGCCTTCTTTCTCCTATAAGTTCTGGGGACTGAAAGGGGCTGGTGCATGCCAGGCAAGCCCTCAACCACTGTGCTACATCTCAGCTTGTAGTCTCCTTTGCTAGTATGTCTTAATTTCACAGTGGGAGCTTTGTCATCTAAGTCAAAGAGGTAGGATGTTTTTGCCAAGAACAGAACAACAAACGCACAGACTCTCTTCTGAATTTTAAGCCCCAGTCCCTCTGTTACTGCCTAACTCAGGCAGTAATTCACATCACAGAAAGTAGATTGGCAAAAGTATTGAGGGCTTCCCTTACCTGGACAGCCAACAGCATCTGGTAAAAATAGAGTTTGCAGGTAGTTTCTTTCAGACGTTTGTGCCCCACCACCCTGTCAAACAGCTCGCCCCCTTCCATCCTGAAACACACCGGCAAAGCAAGGAAACTCACTTGGAGAGAAGACAACCGCACAAGCAAAAAACTCATTAAGACAAGAAAACATTTTTAATTCACTTTTGACTTCCATTTTTAAAACTAATGAGCAAATAAACTTCCTCTACAATCAGTCGGCCCACCTGGAAAGAAGAGAACAGAAGGAATATGCAGTGGGCACTGCTGATAGTTGGAGAGCTTTTAAAATCTGAACTCAGGCCAGGCAGAGTGGTGCATGCCCCAGCACTGTGGGAAGCTGAGGCAGGAGGACTGCAAGTTCAAGCCGAGCATGGACAACTCAGCAACTTACCAACTGTATTTCAAAAAACTAAAATAAAAGGGCTGAGGATGTAGTTTAGAGAAAAGGCCCTGAGTTTTCTTTTCTTTTTCTTTTTTTTTTTTTTTGTTTTTTGTTTTTTGGTTTTCTTCTGGTACCAGGAATCAAACTCACGACCTTGCGCTTGCCAGGCAGGCGCTGTGCTGCTGAGCTAAATCCCCAGCCCCTTCTTTTCCTTTTTAACAGTACTAGGGATGGAACCCAGGGGCACTCAACCACTAAGCCACATTCCTAGCTCTTTTGAAGACAGGGTCTCACTAAATTACTTAGGCAGACTCAAACTTGCAATCCTCCTGCCCCAGCCTCCCTCAGTTGCTGGGATTACAGGCAAGTATCCTCATACCTGGCTACCAGTCTGCATTCTTATCATGAACTCCACCTGACTTGGGAGCTAACACAGAAGAGTAAGCAGGCACTTACAATCAGGCAATGGGGGTCTGAATCCCAACACCACCACTTCCCAGCTATAGGACTTTGGATGAGATATTTCACCTCTCTGAGCTTAAAAGAAATGGGAATAATATCACTGTTATAGTTTGGATCTAGATGTCTGTCAAGAGCCTCATGCTGTGGGAGGGGAGCTTTTGGAAGGTGACAGACTGAACCAGTGAGACATTACAGGCAACTTCCTGCTAGGGGGTGTGGCCAGGTTAGAGGCCAGTCTGACCTGAGAGTATCTCTCCTTCCCCAGCTCCTCTCTTCCCTCTCTGCTTCCTGAGTGCCATAACGTGAGCAGCTTTCCTTGGCCGCAGACCCTTCCCCCAGGCTGCTTTCTGTGTTTGAGCCTGCTAAACATGGACTGAAACCTCTAAAACAAATAAATCTCTCTTCCTCTAAGTTGTAGATGTCAGGTATTATGTCCCACCATGGAGAAGGTGACCAAAACAACCATCTACCATGAGGGCTAGTGTGAAAATTAAGAGCTAATTGATGTAGGTAAAGTACCTGGCCCAGTGTAATTGCTCAGCAAGGCCGTTCAATCCCTCTATGATTCAAATTCCTTTTCTTTAAGTAAAGCTAAAAGCAGTAGCACACCTATAACCTGTAAGCAACCTGTAAGATTATTATAAAGGATACATGTGTCAATACACATAAAGTGCTTACAGCAGTATTTGATTCATAGTATCAGTTACTGTCACTGTATGGCTGCCATTATTAAACTGTGATAATCGGATCCAGTCAAGTAACAGTCTCCCATTTGGGAGCAACATTCCCCAGGTACCACAGGACCATCCAAGTATGTCCTAGGGCTATGATCAGGACTGTTGTTTATTATGTAATCTTAATGGTCAACCTCCATAACACTGTTTGCCAGCCAACCACAAAACATACTCTCCTGCCACATCAACCATTCCCAGGAACATTGCAAATTTATGCAGGAACTGACATGAGACAGACCTCTCCCAGGAAGGAGACAGGAAAGTATTTTGGTCACACCAGGTAAAACAAGACCATGGAGGCCAATGAAGTAACAAGACCCTGAAGGATACTCAGCTGACCACAGGACAAGGTTCCACGATCCTGAGCAGAAAGGCCCACCCAGGCACGTAGTTGCAAAATAACACTATCAAGCCAAGGCTGAGCGCTCACATTTTCCAGGTGATCTGTGGGGCTTTTCCAATTCCACAGCACTTAACCCTTACAAGGACTTTGCACTTGGGGTATCAATAATATATGTATTTAATACTAAGAAAACTAGGCTCAGAGAGGTGAAATAACTCACCCATGGGTGCTTGGCTAGTCATACATGGAGTTCAAACCCAGGTTTGAATTGGGTTCAGACACAAGTCCTGGAATCCCATACTAACTGCTTTAGGAAACATTGGAGAGTTTTTAGAATTGATATTCACACACACACACACACACACACACACACACACACACCATATACATACATGTCCATGGTCCCCAACATAAGAAATTTAAGTTGGGGACCAATTCAATTCTTTGCTGGGATATGAGCACTTAAAGGGAAGAAAATATAAATTCAAAGCATGTACTACTTACAATTCCAAAACAATGTAATAATCTTCTGCATCAAAAAAGTTTTTAATCTTGATGATACAAGGCTAAAAAAAAAACACAGGAAACCAAGAAAAGTAGTGAGAAAAACCTCCCAAGAAGGGAACCACTATTGCCATAGAATTTGAGACATGAGCCCAGAGGGTCAGGAAGGCTAAGACCAGGTATCTGGCCCCCTGCCTCTGGATGCTGTGAAGTTCAAGCAGGAAAGAAGGCAGAACAGAATCTAGTTGACTCAGTGCAAACATGCAAGAAACACTCCACGCCACCATGTCGGTAAGGAACTAGATCACATTTCCTATACAAGAAGGCCTTTCGTACTAAGAATGAAGGCCAGATCCCTTCCCAGCTCTCCTCCTTGCTGCCCTAGAGCAGATAGGACCATGAATGACCCTGAAGAGGTCTGACAATGGAATGAATAAGGAAGTAGGCAGGATGGGGAGCAACGGCATCATTGCTATCAGACCGCAGGGTTATTTGGCTCCAGATAACTGGAACCACAGGGAATGGGACCCTGTGTAATAAGGGCCTCCCATTTTTCCAAGAGAAGAGGGACATTCAGATTTTATAAGAACTTATCCAACCTTTTGGCTTGCCTGTGCTACACCAAGTTAAGAGGTATTGTCTTGGGCCACATATAAAATACATAATATAGCTCATATATAAGTAATAAAACTTCCCTCTTAAAATACATTTATTATTATGTTTTTAAAAAAAGAAGAGGAAGAAGAAGGCAAGCAGATTACAGGCCAGAGGCTGGACACATCTGCAGTGGTCACAAGTTTAACTCCAAGGCCTTCTAAGCTTATGGCTTCACAAACACTCATGAATTAAGAAACTGAAGGAATCAATAAAAAGAAAAATAGGATGCAAACTACACTTTCCCTTTTTCTTTTCACCTTTTTGAACTGAGATATACCTTCCACTGAGACAAAGTCATCAATGCACGAAAAAGATGAGAATTTTTTTTTTCTTGGTGGGGACTGAACCTAGGGCCTTTGCACTGAGCTACATTTCAGCTCTTTTTTTTATTTTTAGACAGGGTGTCACTAAGTCACTAAATTGGGCTCAGGTTGCACTCAAATTTGCAATCTCCTATCACAAGGATAAGAATTATTTATAGCCAGCAGGGTCACGAACACCATCTGATCAGATGTGAGGACAGGATGTTAACGTCCTTATTAGAGATCCTTGGTTCTATTTAGAGTACACCAAATAAAATGTATGGTTTTTTTTTGGTACTGGGAATCGAACTCAGTATCTTGCACTTACCAGGCAAGGGCTCCACTGCTGAGCTATATCCCTGGCCCAAAACTTGAATTTATTATGATTAGCATTGTCTTCACATACATGATCAGTTGATGAAGTCTACATGATACAGAATTTAGTCAAAAACTAAACAGAAGCCATGTATGGTGGCACATGCCTATAATCCCAGCACTCGGGAGGCTGAAGCAGGAGGATCACTCACAAGTTCAAAGTCAGCCTGGGCTATATAGTTAATTCAAGGCCAACTTGGACTACATAATGAGACCCTGTCTCAAAAAACAAAACAAAACAAACAAAAGAAGAACTAAGTAAAAATATTGTATAATTATTTATTAATGAAATAATGAAACACTTATGCAGTACTGCCCCTCAAAATTTTGAAGTAACACTGTTCCAAGCTAAATGACAGCTAGACACATGTATATGTGCACCTATAGATACAAAGTAAACAACCCATGTTAATACTAGCTCTATCATATTGAAATAATTGACCCACTTCCTATATTTTGGGATGAATGAACTTACATATAAATCATATTTTACAAGTACTTACATGATTTAGTTTTTTCAAAATTTCTATTTCAGTTTCAACATTAAGAGCTGGGTCCTTTGATAAAGAGAAAAACGAAGTTTATCAATAATAGCAATAGCCAATATTTTTTAAATGTTTATAGTTAAATTTAGTAAAGACTGCCTGAATTCAAGCCAGGCTCTATTCATACAAAGAAGCAAAGACCCAGAGGTCAATGAATTAAATAACTCATACAAAATTACTTTGCAAAATGTTAGCAAATTATAGGCATTCAATAAATAGCCAGGCCCTATGCCAAGCTCTTTATGTTTGCTTTTTTTTTGGTTTTTTTCCGGTACTGGGAATCGAACTCACGGCCTCCCGCTTGCCAGGCAGGCGCTGTGCCACTGAGCTAAATCCCCAGCCCTGCCAAGCTCTTTATGTATAAGAATCATGTCACATAACCCTCATAATCCTCAAATGAAATAGACTCTATAATTGTCCCCACTTTACAAAAAGGACAACTGAGTCTCAGAAAACAAGCTATTCATTCCAGTTTCTGCTGCCAAAAATAAGCATGTTTCCACTATTTTCATCTGTAACTGGTAGCCTCTCCCTCAACTTCATTAGCTATGGAAGCATTTACATTCAAAAACATCATAAAATAAGTGAAGACCAGGGAAAAGAAAGTCTTTGATTAAACTGTGTGAAGAACATGTCAAGTGAAATTTCTCATGACTGAGGCTAAACAAGTTCCACCTTCAAATACAGGCTAACGTGTCCACTGAGACTCTCAAGGGAGGAAGCTTTGGGGTACTGACACGGTTCCCCATTACAATTTCAAAAGATGAATCGAGTAACTCAACTTCTCAGCTACATCCTCCACAAGCAAAGAGGATATAGAATTACACATTCACGTCAAATGGACTCAGCTAAGAAAACCCAGATGTTTAATTTTAAAAGCCTGCCTCTTCCTGTAAGCCGTTAAGGCTCGTTAGCACATCAGGGTGTACATACGCTGAAAATACAGAGGTCACAAGGAGTCCGGTATGATGTGTACAGTGAAATTAAGAAATAAAATTTTACTTTTAAGGTTTTTTGTTTTTTTTTTTTTTGATCTGGGAGATATTTTCTTCTCAAAATGGAAAGCAAACCAGAATCACAGGGGAAAAGATCTGTAACAAAGTGAACACAGAAAGGAAATTCTTCCTGCCATGTGAGAATGGCATTGTCTAGGGGAAAAAAAATCTTTAAGGAATGTTAAAGTATAATAGCCAGAAACAGCTGGCTGCAAAGGGAAATATGATTAGAGGCTATGTTTTACATTACTTTCTTGGGCCATATGTGGAAAGACCAATACATCTGGCTACATCACCCATATAGTAAATGTGGATTACAGAAAATGTGATAAAATGAATAACTACTATATAGAAATAATTTAAACAACTTAACTTAGAAAAAAATCTATACTAAAGGCTGAGGATGTAACTCATTAGTAAGACCATTTGTACAGAATGCATGAGGTCCTAAGCTGGATCCCCAGGACCACAAAAAAGAAAAAAAAATCTATAACTAACCCATGAATATTGAGATATTCATTGCTCTATCATCCAAAAGGGCAGAGTAATTCATTGGGAATTACCTAAAAGACTAACCAAAGAAATGATGGGGAAAATTATTACAAAGTTGAGACCATTCCTTTTTTGTGGATGAATATCTACAAATTTGCCTCCAGGATCATTCACAGCATTTGTACAGAGTTCAAGTGACAGTTACAGAAGTGAATGCAAGGCAGGGAAAGCCCAAGAAATGCTGTTTTACTGATGGTTACAGTTTGGATCTTAAGCGTTCCCCAAAGGTTAATGTTTCAAAGACTTAGTCCCCAGTGTGACAGTGGTCAGGGGTACCTTTCAGAGGTCATTGCTTAATAGGCCTCTGGGAGGTGGAAGAAACTTGAGGAGGAGAGATTTGTTGGAGGAAATAGGTCTCTGGGGGCATGTCCTTGTAGGGTATATTTTGTCCCTGGCCCCTTCCTTTCCCTCTCATTCTTTGCTTCCTGAGCAACATGAGATGAGCACTTTTGCTCCCCTACACACTCCCCACTATGATGTATTGCCTGACCACAGGCCCAGAAACAACAGAGCCAAGTAACCATGGACTGAAACCTCCAAAACTGTGAGCCAAAATAAATCTTTCCTCTCTTTAATTTCGTTTTTCTCAGGTATTTTGTGACAGAAAGCTGACGAACACACTGATTCTTTGGACAATCTCCACCACTTTAAGGGCACACTCAAGGAAGTAAGCTGGTTTTTCATATTTCAAAACTTGGGTTTAGAAAGATAATCATCAACTGCATAATAAGCCAAAATGATACATTTTGAGGGTGCTGGGGATATTACATTTTTGACAACTGTTTTCAAAATAAATGTTGAAAGCAGCACTTTTTTTTTTTTTTTTTTTTTGGTACCAGAAATCAAACTCAGGGTCTTGCGCTTGCTGGGCAGGCACTGGGCCTGCTGAGCTACATCCGCAGGCCCCATGTAGCACTTAAATGACAGGCTGAAATCAAGTTTTTGTTAGTTTTTTTAATGTTTATTTTCAATAGAACTCCAACCCTCAAGAAATTTTATTTCCACTATGACAATATATAAATTGATTAAATGTTTAAAAGAACTGCATGCAAATAAAATCATGATAAAGTTGATGCAATGGAGATCGTCTTCAAAAAGAACAGTGTATGAGGGGAATCCTACGCTCTCAAGCATATGTGGAAAAGCAGAATGCCAAGTTGTACATACAATAAGATTTCAATCATCTAAAATCACAGATTTGTACAAGACTAGAAAGAAAAGGAAAACCGAAAACAGCTGTAGAGTTGCAATGGCAGGATTATGGTTGGATTTTTTTCTCTAATTTCCTTTCAATTATTGTAAAAACAGTCTTGTAACAATTTGAAACTGGAAAAAAAAAACCTCCCTTTCATTTACATTATTAGGTACAACGAAACATTTTTAAACCCAGATTATCTATAAGTAAAATTCTGTGAATTAACTAAAGGTACTTGAAGCTTATTAGTATTCTTTTAGTATTTGTGGGGCTGAAGCAAGCACTTTTCGATGCTGTTTGATATCTGCATATTACTGTGTCTGAGCAGTGAATTTTCCTGAGATTGAAAATCATCAAAGATAATTTGGGGATGTTAGGGCTGGGGATACAGGTCAACTGCACAAGCGCCTGTCCGGCAAGCACAAGGTCCTAAGTTCAATCCCCGGGACCCCACAAAAATAAAAAATAAAAATAAAGAGGTATAAGAAAGAGCAGAGCAAAAAAAAAAAAAAGAAAGAAAGAAAGAAAGAGCAGAGCAGCCGCAAACACAGGTACTTACTACTGACTCTTTCAAAGAACCAATAGCAAATTTCCTTTTGCTGATGATCTTTATGGCCACTTTCTTACATGTTTTCCTCTCAAAAGCCAGCTTTACCTCTCCACAAGCACCACTAGAGAAAAAAACACAGACAGTGAGTTTTCAGGATGATTTTTAATCAAGATACCCACTACATTCAAGTCTTCCTTGAATATCAGAAGTTAAAGACAACTTTAATTTTTCTTATTGTCACAGGATACAGTGAAACCTTAACAATGCAAAACATCAACGGTGTAAGTAGATGCGAGTCATCCAGCCACGCCGAGTCAGCTCTGAAGTCTATTTCCGAGGTGAGTGACAAATGACCTATCCTAGAGGTCAGAGACGTACCAACTAGAACGTTCTTCCCTGGTCAAAACAAGTAACTGTAAATAGAATTTGCAGATAAAATATTTTCATTGGCACATTTCTTTCTTTGTATTCTCTATTTTCAAAAGAATGCATAAGCCACGCATGACATGAATTGCCCCGACATCAAATCTGAAAGTATTACACAAGTAACTTGCTTGTAGCAACCTCTCACAAAGATTTGTAGTTAACTAGGATATTACTAATGAAAGAGGAATGCTATCTGGGATGTTACACAGCACACACTTAACATGTTCATGAAGGGGCCGTAATTCATGTCTTGCTGCTGGGCAGCTTAAACCACTAGTGATACATGTGTGACTGTCTCATCAGGCAACTTGTACCATTTGTGGTACAAACAAATAATCACTTTTATCAGTCTTTTTACTAATAAATTAATAAAAACCCACTCAGTAAGACGGTCATGGATGTACCACTCGTGATTTAAGCCTAAGTAAGCTAGCTTTTCCAAAGCCTGGATCAGCCCAAGGTAAAAGCTACCACAATATCAATGATCTATTATGACCTGCCTGAAATAGACAATGAGAACTATAGGTTTTGAGGAAGGTGGAAGGCTTGCCAAGACATATTTTTTATTGTGTTAAATTTATACTATATAAATTTACCCTTGTGTTCTTTTTGTTGTTTTATTGGTTTGCACGTGTGTGTGTGTGTGTGGTTTTTCCCTTCTATTTTGTGTGTGTGTTTGCTTTGTCCTTAAACTGCTGCAGGTTGAAGCCAGAGCTTCACTTGTGCTGTGCAAATGCTCTACCACTGAGATAAATCCCAGCCACTTCTCCACACTTTCTTTTCTGAGACAGGGTCTTGCTAAGTTACCCAGGCGGGACTCACACTTGAAACTCTCCTGCAGGCCCCAGAGTAGCTGGAACTACAGGCATGAGACCCAAGTAGTTTATCCCACAGTAGCTGGAACTACAGGCATGAGACCCAAGTAGTTTATTCCTTTTTGTAGCTGAATAATATTCTATTATACAGAAATATCACATTTTGTTTATCTACAACCCACCTCCTTTTCTTTGTACTGGGGATTGAACCCAGTGAGCACCGAGCTACATTCCCACTCCTTCTTATTTTATTTTGAGGTAAGATCTAGCTAAGTTGGCCAGGCTGGCCTTGAACTTGCAATCCTCCAGGCTCAGCCTCCCATGTACTGGAATTATAGCCTTTATCCATATCTTTTGATGGACGCTTCAGTTGTTTTCACTTTTTGTGAATTGTTTCTTAAATATGACACCAAAAGCACAAGCATAAAAAGGGAAACAGAAAAATGAGGCTTCATCATTACAAACAGAACTGCTATAAACATTCATATGCCAGTTTTTATTTGAGTACCTATTCCCAATACAGGGGTATCTATATACCTACGAAGAGAATTTCTAGGTCATACAATTAATTCTATATTTAACTTTTAGAGACCAAACTAATTTCCACAGTGGCTGCACCATTTTACAGTCCTACCAGCACTGTACAGTGGTTCCAATGTCTCCACATCCGCCCCAACACTTATTAATTTCTGCCTCTTTATTATGGCCATCCTAGGGGACGGGTGGGAAGTGTTAATCGCAATGTGGTTTTCTTAAGTATTTCTTTGAGCAACTGATGACATTGATCATCTCTTCACGTGTGCTTTGGCCACCTGTATATCTTATTTAAAGAAACGTCTATCTGAGCCCTTTGCTGCCCCCTCCTTTCAGACTGCTTGTATCCTTGTTGCTGACATCTAAGGGTTATTTCCTTCTATGTACTTTCTACTTCCATATTTCAAAAAATATCAAGGGAAGTATCAGATATCAATATCTGAGGAAGTAGCTCATTGGTGGAGCACACAGCATGGGTGAGGCCCTGTCACCAGCACCACAAAATAAAAACAAAACTACCACTGGATACACAGCATGTGTCAATAGAAAGGTCTTTGCAAGTGGAAAGAAATGGGTAAAAGACATTGTTTAACACAGAAAAAAGGACCCTGAATTCTTTCCTAGGGCAATACTTCTCAAAACCTGGTTGGGCAGCCCTTAGATGACCCAAGACCTCCCAAGCATCCACAGTCAGAACTAATTTCAGAATGTTACCAAGACCTTACTTGTCTTTTTCAATCTCATTTTCTCCTGAGTCGACAGTGGAGTTTCCCAGAGGCTACAAAGCATGTCTGAATGAAAAATCAAATTTCAGAATCCAGCCACCCTCTGAATACAGAGCCTTAGACCTCTCAGCAATCCTAACTGCAGCCACCTTCTAAACAACTCAGACGTCAAAAGGATTCACAAGCACATAGACCAATTCCTCTTTTTAATAATTTTTAGTTATCAACTTGTAGTGAACTTAATGAATTGATAACATTTTTCTCAATTTTAATTTCTAATACTGTAAATATCAAGATTTAAACCACAAAAAACAAAGCTCTCTGGAATCCTCAGTAATTTTTTAATTTTATAAAATTGTTTTGTGATATTAGGGATCAAACTTGAGGTCTCCTACATGCTAGACAAGTACTCTACCAAAGAGCTCCTGGCCTCAATAATATTTAAAAATGTAAGGGGTCCTGAGACTAAACATTTAGACAACTTTGTCCTAGGTTACACTCAATGGTCAGTTTTACTTCACATTCCAAGTTGGTACAAATTCTAAACAACACAGAAATGTAGTAACTATGTGTTTTTAGACTGTAATGAGCGTGTTACAAAACTGATGATGGTGCCAGGTGTGGTGGCACATGCCTGTGATCCCAGCACTCAGGAGGTTGAGGCAGGAGGACTGCTGAGAGTTCAAGGCCAGCATGGGCCACAAAATGAGTTCAAGACCAGCTTGAACTACATAGCGAAACACTGTCTCAAAAAAACCAAAAAGGGCTAGGGACATAGCTCAGTGGCATAACTGCCTGCCTGGCAAGTGCTAGGTCCTGAGTTCGATTCCCAGTACCAAAAAAAAAAAAAAAAAAGAAAAAGAAAAAGGAAAAGAAAAACAATTCCCATCAAAAAGACCAAAAAAAAAACTAATTATGGTGATGGTTGCACAACTCTATGAACATACTAAAACTCACTTTTTTCCCTTCATGCTGGGGAGTGAACCCAAGGTCTTACACTAAAATCTGCAATTAATCTGAAAGAGTGAACTGGTGGCACAGGCCTGTTATCCCAACACTCGGGAGGCTGAGGGATAACGATTACTGCGAGTTCAAGGACAACCTCGGCCAGCAAGACCCTGTCTCAAAAAACCAAACATAAATAAATAAATAAATATTTTATACATATATATGTATACACACACACAATCAATAAAAATGTATATGGCAAAAAGAGTTCAACATAAAATAAATCAATAATACAGGATATTCATCACCAATAGTTGTCGTATAACTATGTTATGAATAAATAATGTTATCAAATAATAAACATAGAGGGGAAAAAAAATGAAGTACAGTTTTTATAAAAAAAAAACTTACCTTCCAAGAGTTTTTGATATAATGTACTCATCTCTTAATTGCTTGGGATAAACTGATTGATCATCTACAGTCAGATCAAAAAATACAAAAACTAAGAGAGAAAAGGGCAGACATGGGGTTATTAATTCATACAATTAGATAATTTATTCTAAAAAGTAGTTATATTTACTATAAGGCAGCTGCTTTTAATAATTACATTGTTTAGCTAGACTAATGCATGTCATGAAACTCTGAGAAATCCCATCAAATTTCATTCTTTAATGGAAATACTCTCACGTAGTACAGAAAACGTAACTGCTGTTCACATTCGCCAACCTCAGGATATTAACCAACGGCACTAATGGTATTCCTTGTTTACCCTTTGAAAAATCACTGTGAGCTGCTTTAAACTCTGTAGTTCACTTTCGTCAGTTACTCCTTGTAGACTCTGCTCTAACTGAAACTGTTTTAGAGATGATACTCATTGTTTTGAGGAGTGGATGTTTATAAAACACGACTAACGGCGACAGCAAACAGCTCCACTTGCAGGGCCTAACTACGTATTTCAGAAGGGAGATTGTGGAAGCAGCAGCTTGGTGAAAGTGAGTGTTTGCCTAACATGGGCCAGGCTCAACACTGAACCTCAGCACCAGTACACTGAGCCTCTCACAGAAACACCCACAGCCTAACACTTGGCATAAAAAGGAGCTTAATAAATATATGCAGAAATTAATTAATAGAAAAAATGAAGGAAAGGAGCAAGGGAAACAGGGAGGGAGGAAGGATGAATTAATAACCTAAAATAACTCATACCTATGTAACACTGATGTGGTGTAAACTGAGTCAAGGAACTAACCAATATGACAGCTCAAATGATACCAAATGGCTTTAAGTAAAACTGATCAAACCAATTAAATCTAAGAAAATCTGTCTGGAGAGAACTTTATCACTTAAAAATGCAACCATTGGGGCTGGGGATTTAGCTCAGCGGCAAAAGCACCTGCCTGGCAAGCGCAAGGTCGTGAATTCGGTTCCCGGTACCGGAGAAAAACCAAAAAAAAAAAAAAAAAAAAATGCAACCATTAAAAAAAATGCAACTGTAACAGCAAAATTAAATCTTGAATGGTAACTCAATTTTACTCACCGAAACAATACTCTATCAGGACACAAAGTCAAGTTTTCCCTTGCACACAGTAGGGAGAAAAAAAATCCAGTAACTATAAAATGATAGTATTACCTTTATTTCTACATAGTGAAAGTGCAATTTCAGAATTGTTACTCAAAGGACGTCGTTTTCCTTTCCCTACAAGCTCTGTATTTACAAAGGTTCCATTCCCACTGTGATCTTCTATGTATGCGATGTAAGAGTTTTTAGGACCCATTTCCTAAAATAGAGGACATTTTATTTCAAAGTTTTAACAGCAGGATTTGTAGTTAAATGATGTCCAAGAGCAATGACTGGATTACCAGTTCACCCAAGTATATGCACATTGGTTACCTACCCTGAAAATCCGAAAGTGTTTCTTGCTATACGTCCTGTATTTATCTGTCCTTTTTAGCAGTGGTTCATCAAAGCAATAATCACAGCTTTTATCCCTCCCAAACCAGTAGCTGTCATTAACACACTCTGTAATACAAAAGCACAAATCAGAGAGCTGTTAAACTTTCTGTATTAGACACCTTTAAAAACTGCTTATAAAATCTACTTTAGGAAAACAGGCTAAGAAGGCAATCAAAATTATTATAGATTTAATTATCAAGATTTTTGTAGCATTACAAATTGGCAGGGGGTTCTGGGAGCTAAACTCTGGTAGAGCACATGCTTAGCATACTGGACACCCTGGACTCAGTCCATAGCACCAAAGATGGCTGGGGAAAGTCACAAATTTCACAACAATGGGTTTAATCCATGATGGTTTATACAGAACCATGAATTACAAGCAGTCATTACAACCTCTCAAATAGCTTTTAAAGACTTGGAAAGTACTTCAATAGAGTAATTTCCTGCTTATTACCTTCCTCAGGCTTCCTAGCATACTTAGTATAAAACCTACACTCTTCCGCATGGCTCACTAGATGCTTAGGGTCTGGCCCCTGCCTCTATTCCAATGTCACCGGAGCCCCTGGCCCCTGCTCATACACCCAGTCCCTCTGGCCTCCTTTTACTGCCCACGTATGCCAAGCACAAGGGGCTTTGTGGCCTTTCCACTTCCTCATTCCCAACTACCTGAAAGGCTCCTTTCCTCTTATCTTCTGCATTTAGACTCAAATAAAACCTCCTCCTCCTCAGCTTTCTATATAAGCAGATCCCTACCTGTTATACTGATATCCTGCTTTATTTCCCCCTATGTATGGGTCATAATTGGAAGTTATACTGATCATTTATACACTGTTTCCCCAACAGAACATAAAATCCATGAGGGCAGCCATGGATCTCCTGTTTAAGAGTACAGCTCCAGTCAAGCATGGTGGTGCACACCTATAATCCTAGCACTCTGGGAAGCTGAGGCAGGAAGATCACAAGTGCAAGCCCAGCCTGGGGAAATTAACAACTTAGCCAGACCATGTCTCAAAATGTAAAAATATAAAAAGGCTGGAGATGTAGCTCACTCTGAAGGCTCTGGGTTCAATCCCCAATACTGCAAAAAGAAAAAAAAAAAAAAAAAAGTACAGTTTCAGCATGGATAATGCATATCAGAGGCAATAAAATATTCCTTGAAAGACAGACTTGGGAAAATATTAGCAATTCATATCACAAAACACTAATATTCCTAATAAGAGATTTTTTTTTTTTTAAGACAGAGTCTTACTATGTAGTACAGGCTGGCCCTCAAACTCATGGTGATCCTCCTGCTTCAGCCTCCAGTACTGGGATTACAGGTATGCACCAGCACACCCAGTCCTAATAAGAGTACATCAAGACAAGCTAGTGGGAAATGAGCAAAGGATGTAAAGGGATAATTTCCAAAAGAGAAAAAACAAATGGTTCAAACACAGGAAAAGATGGCCAATACAAGAAATTTTTAAAACCAAAAATACAGTATCTACAGTTCACCTGCCAGATTCAGGAAAATCAAAGACTTGTATTACACTGTTGGCAAGAGGTACAGAGAAGCAGGTACACTCATACACTGCCAATAAAAATATAATTCATACACATTTTATATAATTGTCTAGGGAGAACAATTTGCCAAGATCTATCAAAATTACATATGTAGTCACATCACACCCAAAAAGATGGCTATTAAAAAACAAAAGGTCTAGGGGTGGGGATATAGCTCAGGGGCAGCACTTACCTAGCATGCACAAAGGCACAGGTCTGACTCCTAGCACCAAAAAGACCTATCATATGGCTCAGCAAGTCTATTAGTAGGTGGAAACCCGAAAGAACTGAAAACAGATACTCAAATCACTGCATATCAACGCTCACACCAGTACCACACACAACACTCAAAAGGTAGAAAAGACCCAACTGTAGATGGATGTACACACTGTGAGATTCGCACATAATGTTATTCAGATATCATAAAAATAAATAAAATACTAACATGTCATAGAGCATGAGCACCTTTCAAACATCATGCTAACTGAAAGATGCCAGACCCAAAGGGCCACATACTGTGCGATATTATTTAAATGAAATGCAAGTTTGAGGCAGTTGTGCACAGTACAGTCCCGGGCACTTGGGTGGCTAAGGCAAGCGGACCGTTTGAGTCCAGAAGCTCTATGCAACAAAATGAGACTCTACCAGAAGGAAGACAAGAAGAAGGAGAAGGAGGGAGAGGGCAGGGGAAGGATGGAGGGAGGGAAACAAACAAAAATGCAGGGCAGAAGAAAAACAGGAAGAGTGACTTTAATGGGTGCCAAGATTCATTTTGGAATGACGGAAATGTTTTCTTGAATTATATGTGGTAACCGAACAACACTATGAATACACTAAATGCCATGACGTGCCATTCACTTTTGTTGTTGTTTTTTGGTTTGTTTTCTGTTTTTTTGAGATAGGGTCTCACTATGTAGTTTGGGCTGGTCTTGAATTCACAGCTATCTTCCTGCCTCAGCCTCCCAAGTGTGAGTGTGCCATCATGCCCAGCCATTCACTTTTAAATGGTTAATTATGTTTGTGACTTTCACCTCAATTTTTAAAAATTACATATGCACACACTCACTGACTCAAATTTCATTTCTAACAACTTATCCCATGGAATCATACATATCATGAGAGGACATAAGGACATAATATACGTACATTATTCTTATAGCAAAAGATGTCCATGAGCTGGGTATGGCGGCACATGCCTATAATCCCCACACTCAGGAGGCTGAGGCAGGAGAATTACAGGAGTTCAAGGCCAGCCTGGGCTATGTAGTGAGATTCTGTCTCAAAAACAAAAGTCTGTGACTAAGGAGCTAGGTCAATAAATCTATATCTCTATCAAAAAAAAAAAAAGATGTTTACATTCTAATAGAAGGATGTTTATGATATATTAAGGGTAAAAAGTAAGTCTTAAAACTAGGTACTGTACATTATTAATACAATTAGTATAAACTCTCTTTTTTGGTGGGGGGTGGTTAAGAGTCTCGCTCTATCATCCAGGCTGGCCTTAAATTTGTGATCCTCCTGCCTTAGCCTCCTGAGGGCTGACATTGCAGGCATGCATCACCACAACCAGTTAACTTTTTTTCTTTTTCTTTCTTTTTTTTTTTTTGACAGGCTCTCTCACTATGTTGTTCAGGCAGAACTTGGACTCCTTTCCATGTCCCAAGCTGGCCTTGAACTCAGAGTAATCCTCCTGCCTCAGCCTCCTGAGTGCTGGGATTATAAGCATGTGCCACCACGCCCAGCACAACATTTTTAAATTAGTATAAAAACAAGTGGGAAAAAGAATATATATGCCAGGGATATAGCTCAGAGGCACAGCACCTGCCTGGCAAGTGCAAGGTCCTGAGTTCAATTCCCAGTACCAAAAAAAAAAAAGAATTTACTTTTATTTATTTGTATATGCTTCACATAACTCTAAAAAGCTAGTAAGAAATCAGCAATACTGGGAAATAGTTAGGAAAGGACAGAAGTTAGATGAAGACTTTGCTCTTCTTTTGAATATTTACTTACTACAAATACAACTTATTCAAAAGCTTAAATGAGAAACTGCACATGGTGGTGCATGCCTATAATTCTAGCAGCCTGTAATCCTAGCACTCAGGAGGCTAAGGCAGGAAGATGGCAGTGAGTTCTGACCCAGCCTGGGCGACTTACCATAGTGAGACCCTGCCTCAAAAAAACCTCAAATGAAATAAATCAGACAAACACACCACCTAGTTTCTCTGGTGTGAGAAACTGAAAGTGTAAATAACAACCAAAACGTGTAACAGACATTGCAAAACAGGAAGAAAATGTTCAAATGGAAAGGAGAACTAGAGAGGGGAGAGTGGGGAAAGGAAGGAAGGGAGAAGAAAGGAATGAGAAAAGAAGGAAAAAATGGAAACAGCTTTTATAAATGCGGAGTGGAAGGTAAGTTGAAGGGAGGGTAGGGGAATGGGAAAGAAAAAGGAATCAAGTTATGTCACGTACAGGTACAAATTCCCTATGATGAATGTGATCATTACCTACACTTAAAATGTACCAATAAGCCTAATTAATTTTTTAAAAAGACATGAATCAATTAAAAAGTTTCTGATAGGTTCCCGCCTGGCCCTGAACACAACTTCCTCTTACCCGCGCGAGGGAATAAACCCCCAATCAGCTCCTGACACGTCACTAAGCCCACCCCTTAAGCTCCGCCCCTAACCAGAGTCTTTATAGAACCCCAGCTCCCTTGTCTAGCCTAGACGAGTCCGGTATAGTCCGATATCGCATGCTGCCCTCACCTTTCCATGTCCGGCGTAAAGGCCTTCTTTCTTTTCTTTGTTTGGTTCTTTTCTGCGCAGGAAACCTAACAGCTTCCAGCCAGTATAGGTGATGCACACCTACAATCCCAACACTCTGGGAGGCTGAAGACAAGAGGCTTGCCATTTCAAACCCAGCCTGGGCAATTTAGCAGGTATGTCTCAAAATAAAAAAAAAAAAAGTTTAAAAAGGACTAGGGATGTAGCTGAGTGCAAAGACCGAGTTCAACCCCCAGTGCGGTAATAATAATAATAACATAAAAAGTTTCCAGCCTCCATGAGGCAGCAGGAAGACAGAGAGGAAACACAAATGAAGGACCTCAGCACCTCCGGTGGAGGCTCTCAAGGAGTCCTCATAAAGGAAGCAAGACAGGAAGGACAGACCGACCAGCCCCTTCAGAAAGCAATGTCATAACCTAATTACTAACTAAAACCGTGCATGCTGTATGGCCCAGCCACTGAACTGAAGCTCTCTAACCTACAGACATTTGCCCAAAAGCCTGAGCTCGTGTCTTTCACCTGTAAAATGACCATTATCATTCTAGGGAATAGACCACAGAGACAACTATAAGGACATTTGCTGCAGTCCTGCTTTCTAGAGCAAAAATTAGAAACCTAAGGCTCCATTAATAGGGGGAAAAATTAATGAAAAATAGTACTTCTACTAGAAACCAGTTGGACCAGGTATAGTTGTGCACATCTGTGATCCTAGCATTCCTGGAGGCTGAGGCAGAAGGATGGCAAGTTTGAGCCCAGCCTGGGCAAGTTAGTAACTTAGCAAGACTGGTCTCAAAATTTTAGAAAAATTTTTAAAACCATTAAAAAAAAAGGCTGGGGATATAGCCCTGGATTCAATCCCCTACAGTATCACCCAAAAAAAAAAAAAAAAAAAAGGGGGGAAGAAAAAAAAACCAGCTGGAAAAGGAGGGACACAGAGTATTTAGGAGCTGACCAGGCCAGGGATGGTGGACAGAGCAAAAGAGTGGCTGGGGATGCAAGGGCTTTGCTTTGACCTTGGCTCATGAGAAGAGTCCTTGGGTAGATGTGTATGGAAGCAGGAAAAAGTACGGTAGAACCAAAAAACAAAGGTAGGTAAAAAAAGGAGACAAAGAAAACCATAACTAAAATATTGTACTTTTAAGAAGACTGTAACATCTGGGACACAAAGTTACCCAAGGCAATCCTTATCAGCATTCTTTAGGATAATATATTCTTCTTTCCTTCCAGATCCTTCACACCCCAAATTTCTTACAAATATTGTAAGCCCAAAGTAAAGAGCAGGAAACTGATCTTGAGATAAAGGAACAAGTTGAAAGAATTCAAAGAATGCTTAAATTACCCATCTTAAAACAAAAACCTGAGCTCTAACCTTTCACCTATAAAATGGGCCATTATCATTCTGGGGGAAAGACCATCTTTTTCATAGATTTCCACCCTCTCAAGAGAAACATAAATGTTGTCAGTTCCAAAAGATAAAGGCTGTGAGTTCCAAAAGTCTCATTTCTCTGAATCTCCCTATTTCACCCTTGTGTGTATACTCTTAAAATTATGCCTAATAAAGCAAGGCATGGTGGTACACACCCATAATCCCAGCACCTGAGAGGCTGAGGCAGGAGGATCGGCACACTTGAGGGCACCATGAACTACAAGATGAGTTCAAGGCCAGTCTGAAAGACACAGTAAGATGCTCTCTCAAAGATAAATAAATAAATAAATAATCTGCCTAATAAATCCTTACCAGGCCTCTTACTCACCAGTCCTAAAAATTCTTTTCCTGTGACAGGAATCAGAGAACCTTAGCACTCAGAAGGTTGAGGCAGAAGGATCTTGAGTTCAAGGACCTCAACTTACAAGGCAAGTCTGATGCCAGCCTGAACTACATGGTGAGACCCTGTCACAAACAAAACAAAACAAAACAAAAGAAACGAAAAGCCAGGTGTGGTGATGTACATCTGTAATTCCAACATTTGTTAGGCTGAGGTAGGAAGATCACAAATTGAAGGCCAACCTGGCCTACACTGCAAATTTAGGACCAGACGGCAAGACCCTGTTTCAAAAAAATATATATTTAAAAAAGAAAAAAGAAAACAAAATACCCACAGTGGAAGGAGCTATTTGTAGGCACTAAAACTATAAAATTCCAAAAAGCAAGAAGTATGAGAAATCTTCATGACTTCCAGCCAAGCAACAGTTTCTCAGATATGATGGGACAAATCTAAGTAATGAAGAAGAAAAGGAAAAAAACAACAAAACTGGACATCATCAAATTTCAAAAGTCTGGTCAGGTAAGGTAGTACACACCTATAATCCCAGCACTCTGGGAGGCTGAAGCAGGAGGACAGCAAATACAAACCCTGCCTGGGCAATTTAGCAACTTAGTGAGAACTTGTCTCAAAATTAAAAAAAAAAAAAAAATTAAAAAGGCTGGGGATATAGCTCAGTACAAACACCATGGTACAAACTCCAGTGTAACAGTGTAATTAATAATAATAGTAACAACTGTATACACCAAAAAATGACATCGAACAATGAAAAACACAACCCACAGACTAGAAGTATTTACAAACATATCTGATAAGGAACCGTTTCTCAAATACATATAATGAAAAGACATGCAATGCAATTAAGAAATGACACAAAAGTGGATGTAGCTCAGTGGTAAAGCACTTATCGAGCATGCACAAAGTCCTAGCTTCAATCACCAGAGCATGTACACACACACCCCACACACATGCGCACACACATGCAAGCACAAAAGCTCCCTTTTGATGAATGTGACTGTGCATACAATCCTAGCCCTCAGGAGGCTATGGCAAAGGGATCATGAACTCAGGACCACCTGGGCTGCATAATGACAATGTTTCAAAATAAAACAAAACAGAACACAACAAAAGGATATAGCCCTTGCAGAAAGTAGTTTGGCAATTCCTTACGAAGTCAAACATACAGCTGGATGATGGTGCCACCGGTACTCCCAGTGTTCTAGGACAGGGGCCCCAACCAGGACCAGGGCCACATAGCAGAAGGTGAATTGCAGGCAAGTGAAGCTTCATCTGGACTAACAGCTACTCCCCATTGCTCACATTACCACCTGAGCTCCACCTCCTGTCAGATCAGCAGCAGGTTTAGAGCCTTCTAGAAACCTGAACTCCACTGTCAACTGCACATGAGAAGGATCTAGGTTATGTACTTCTTTTCTTATGACTGTAAGCCTTGATGATCTGAGGTGGACCTGAGGCTGTGATGCTAGATGGTGACCAGCTGCAAATACAGATTAACATTAGCTAAGAGGTTTGTCTGTTTATTTGTTTTTTTGTAGTTCAGACTGGCTTTGAACCCACTACGTAGCTTAAGCTGCATTGAACTTGTGGCAACTCGCCTGCCTAAGCCTCCCAAGTGGTGAGATTACAGGCATATGCCACAATGCCCAATTAGCCAAGAGGCTGGACTGCACAACGACCATAATAAATCACTTGCAGACTCATATCAAAATCTTGTCAGTGAGTAGCAAGTGACAATTAAGCTGCCCCTAGTGACACGTTCTATAGTGGCTAGTAAGTTGATTCTACACTGCATCTGGAAGCAGGCTTTAAGTCAGATTCTGACACTTATTTTAGTCCACTTGTGGCCCACCCTATATTTTATTTACCACTTCTATTTGTGCCTCTTTCCTGCCCTGTGTACTTCTCTCAGTCACAGATTCAGGAAGGCCACAAGCTAACCCTAGCCAAAGTAAGTAAAAAACAAACATCACAGGAGAACTTCTTTGAAAGGGTGGAAAGATCCAATGATGAGACAATTAAAGGCTCTATAAAAGAGAGCCCTCTATAAAAGAAAATATAGCAAGGCATGGTGGTGCACACCTGTAATCCTAGCACTTGGGAGTCTGAGGCAACAGGATCATCATGAGTTCAAGGCCAGCCCTGGCTACATAGTGATTTCAAAACCAGGCTAGACTACATAGCAAAATTCAGTCTCAAATAACCAAAAACAACAACAAAAGGTTAAAACTAGCTCTAAATATTTACCTCTAAATTTAATGTTGTTTCCTCCTTTTTTTTTTGGTACCGGGAATCAAACTCAGGACCTTGCACTTGCCAGGCAGGTGCTGTGCCACTGAGCTATTTCCCTAGTCCTTTTTTTTGAGACAGGGTCTCACTATGCAGTTCAGGCTGGCCTTGGACACACTATGTAAATTAGGCTGGCCGTGAACTCACTGTGATCCTCCTGCCTCAGCCTCCGGAGTACTGGGATTACTTTTTTTTTTTTTTTACTATCTTTTCAAGTCATTAAAGTTGACAGTTAAGTAAAATGGAAGGGTGGTAAATGAGAAGGTACAAAGTAGCATATTAATCATTCATTTCTTAGTATTATTTTCTATATCAAGTTTTGTTTTGTTATTTTTTGGAGATAGGATCCCGTATGTATTCTAAATCAGCCTTGAATTGGCTATGTATCCCAGGCGAGCCTTAAACCTGCAATCCTCCTGCCTGAGCCTCCTGAATGCTGAGATCACAGACACGCACCACAATACCCAAATCAATTTTTTTTTTTCTGGTACCAGGAATTGAACTCATGACCTTGCACTTGCCAGGCAGGCACTGTGCTGCTGAGCTAAATCCCCAGCCCCTAAATATTTTAAAATATGAAGTCATTTTAATGTAAAAGAAAAGAAAAAGACTACTTTAAACATACTTATAGCAAAAACTATCAGGACCATGGCATGTCAGAGACGATCAATGTATTAAAATTACATTGTTGGCTATCTGGAGACAAAAAACAAGTAATAAACAGAAGCAATGAATATATTCCCTATTCTAAACTGAGCTGATGCTCTCATAGAAATTATTTTTGTTTGTGTTTTTTGTTTTTGAGACAGGGTCTTGCTTTGTAGTGTAGACTGGCCTCAAACTCACAGTGACCCTTCTGCCTCAGTATCCCAAGTGCTGGGATTACAGGAATGCACAGCCATGCCAGGCCTACCATTGCCCCTTTTATTTTTCATTACTGTCAAACTCCAGAATTATTCCATGAATGTCCTAAGCTTTTCTGCTGCAACAACCTTCTACAACTAACTTTTTCTGAACAATTCATGATACTGCAAACGAAAAGGACTTACCAAGATTGGAGAATCCTTCCTGAAGAGCCCATAGCCGAGCCCAAGGGGCAGGAACAGGTTCCTCGGGTTCTTGGTCCTCAGGAATAGAACAGAGTTCCTGAGTAGATACTGTCTCTAAGGAGCTCAGTGTCCCAGAGCTGGACTGAGAGGACTGGCTGGAGGTGGGCAACGTGCTGGTGGAGGAGCTAGATGTGCTTGGGGACTGTGACGAGGACCCGTGCGACTGTGAAGCAAGCCCGGGAGACTGGGAGAAGCTGCCTCGGGACTGGGTGAAGCCACCTGGGCTCTGTGAACTGGTACCACTGCCGTGAGCCTGTGAGGAGGTACTGGGGCAGGACTGCTGACTCTCTGCGTCGGGCTCCGTAGACATTGCAACCTCAAAAAGTAAGCATCCAATTATAAGGTCAATTTCACAGACTAAGACTTATCTCAGGACTTCAAGTTCGAGCGTGAAGAATGGGCACATTATCATGGCAAAAGAAAAAAAAAAAAAAAAGCCAGACATGGGAGCACACACCTGTAATCTCAGCACTCCGAAAAACTCAAACTGAGGCAGGAGGATCACCATGAGTTCGAGGCCATCCTGGGCTACATAGAGGGTTCAAGGCCAGCCTGCACTACATAACGAGAACATCTCAAAAGGACCAAAATAAGAACAAAATAAAAATTCAGGGCAAGCATGCTCTGCAAGTCCTAACAGACAAGCATGGTGATGGCACACTTGTAATCCCAGCTACTCAGGAGTCTGACCCAGGAGAACGGACAGTTCAAGCCCAATGTAGGCAATTTAAGACCTTGTTTTCAAAATAAGAAATAAAAAGGGCTAAGGTTGTAGCTCAGTAGGACAGCACTTGCCTAACATGAGCAATACACTTGGTTCAATCCTAAGTATCTACAAGGAAAAGAAAAGAAAAAACAGAATACTACCAGTCCACCCATGGTTCTTCTGAGCTGAACTTTTTTGGGGGGTGGTGAGGGGACATTGGGAATCTAACTCACACTTGCCAGGCATGTGCTGCACCACTGAGCTAAATCCTCAACCCCTGCACTGAACTTTTCATAAGATCACTTTCATTGGATCAGACACAAAACACAGAAAGAAATACCAAAAGAAAACTATTTGAATTATTTGAAGGATACAAGTAAGTATATGGCAATGAAATTAAAGGGCATGGTAGTGCATGCCTGTAATCCCAGCACTTGGGAGGCTGAGGCAGAAGGATCACAAGTTCAGGGCCAGCTTGGGCTACACAGCGAGTTCGAGGCCACCTGAACTACAAGGCATGACCCTGTCTCAATAAACAAATAAAAAAAGGCAAAAAAGCATCCATGCACACAATTTTTTTAAAATTATAAATGAAATAAACTTACAATTAACACTACCCTTAAATTTCATGCATATTTTGGAAAATAAAGGAAAGTGTCAGGTCACCTGGATAGAAGGCAACTAAAAAGAAACTGTATAGTAACTCCCTTTGCCACTTCAGGGGATCATTTGCATGAAATATTGATACTCCTTCTACCCCTTGGCATTCTCCAGGAAGGTAGGAACCGTGTTCATGTAGATCCACAGCCAGCTGAGTCCACTTAATAAGGCCGAACACAAACACAAATCTAAACAACTCCACCTAACTCTTTGCTAACTGGGAGCTATTCTTATTGGAAAAAAAAAGAAATGAACGCTGGGGCTGGGGATTTAGCTCAGCGGCACAGCACTTGCCTGGCAAGCGTGAGGTCGTGAGTTCGATTCCAGGTACCAGGAAAAAAAACAAACAAACAAAAAAAAGAGAGAAATGAACGCAAAACACTCCAGCATGCCAATTATGAAGAATCTAAGAGGCCTTACAAGTTCCACACAACCTTTCCTTCTGTTAAATAGCGAAACCTGAAGCCAGGTGTGGTGGAACATGTGGTGGCAGAGGCAGGAGGATCACCACAAATTTGAAGCCAGCCTGGGCTACACAGTAAGTTCAAAGCCAGTTTGAAATACATAGCGATACCCGTGTAAAATAAAACAAAATCCAGAGAACCTTGCGTCCCAAGGAAGACTGGTGCCCCCTTATCCTCTCCTTGCCACCCCATCCCACACACTTATTTATGGGCACCAGCACATCCTACAAGTCAGCACGTTTTCAGCTCTGTAGCACGTAGCGGCTAAAACTGCGTTCTCATAAATAGTTCAGGGAAAGAAACTAAAGAATGATCATAATTGTATAATCTAAAGAATGATCATAATTGTATAAACTAATGTTTATACAAGTAACATCACTCTGGTATTGAAGATCGCAACTCTGTTCCTTTTCATCCTGCATCCCCAGGCCTGTTCATGTTTAAGTAACAGAAAGTCAATTTCACCTCGAAGATCATCTACAAAGGGAGTCGCCCACGCACTCACTTCCACCTCAAAAATCCAATAAAAAACGGAAGCTAGAGAGATTACACTTTCATAAACTCTGAGGATGGGACTCGAACCCTCTAGCACCCAGGAGATGTTTCCCACTATGACTCACCGCGTGAGCCCACCAAAAGCCCCAGGCTCCACGCAGCCACCGGCAGCAGAGTGGCGCTAAACCAGCAGATACAAACTCCACCCTCAGCCAATCAAAACGCCCTCTACCGCTACCGGACCAATGAAAAGCAACGGATGTGACCGGCACGCGTGACACCAACGCTTGCTGGGAGTTGTAGTTCAAAAGGCACGGCATGACTCAGCCACCGAGCTTCCCCCAAGTGACCCCGCCCCCTTAGCTCTCTCTCCAATCAGCCGCACTAGTCTGGTCGGCGGTCTTGGCTTCTTCCCCAACAGGTGACCCCGGCCCAAATGTGGGGCGGGAGGGCCGGGGCCTTGCTTCGGGGATGGGGTCGGCGGCTGGCGGGGGCCGCCGGAAGGAGACCGCTAAGCGGCAACGCTGCCTCGCAGACAGGAAGCAGCGCGCTGCAGTGTTGGAAGTGCGGCGGGCCAGGGGACCCTGCACGGGGAGACGGGTTCTTCTGCCCGCAGTGCCGCGCGCTGCAACCACCTGACCCCACTCGAGACTACTTCAGCCTCATGGACTGGTACGCGCGGCGGCTTCGGGAGTCGGGACGCGAGCGACGTCAGGGGCTGGCCTGCGTGAGGGGAGGGTGGGCGGGTTGGGACGCGCCTGGGCTGGTCAAGTAGGTGGGCGGAGCACCAGAGAGCCGGGCTGGAGCGGGGTCACGAGGGGGGAAGTGAGGGGCGGGGACTGGGGAAGGGACACAGTGGAAGCGGCTTGGGAGTGGAGAGGTGGGGAATGAAGGAACTAGAGGGACGGGGTTTTCCTGGAGGGGCGGAGCTCGAGGGAAGGGGCCGGGTCAAAAAAGCTTGACTTAGGCTTGAGGCTTTCAAGAGAGAAGTATTGTACGGAAGCGCCTTCCAAGATGAGGGACTAAGGGGCCTTAGCTCAGTGGCAGGGCGTTTGCGTAGCTTGCAAGAGCCCCTGGTGTTTTGAACTCAGCGAAGCAAAACAGAACAAAAATTACATACTGTATATGGGAGTAAAAGCACAAACAAGATTGTGGGCAAGGCCATAGAGGGATGGGAAGTAGAGGCAGAGTGGAGGAAATGGAGACTTTCCCCTTGTTTCCCCTTGAAGATTGAGAAGTTTGGAAAGAGAAGGGTAAGTGTGGGCATAGCTGAACTGGTGAGGAAATAGGGCAGGCTTTGGGAGGAGAAAAGGAACGGGTTTGGGTTGAAACAAACTGCCCACCTTGTTCCCACCTCATGGTCTTTGCACTTGCGTGCAGCCTGGATGACTCTTTTCTCCGCGGCATTACTTTGTCTGACCTTGACCTGTTTTCCTTCATAGCAGTTACCACGTTTTTCAGATTATCTCTTGCTTAATCGTCCCCATAAAAACAGGAGACAGCCCTGTAATACATAACCCTATAAATATTTATTGCATGAGTTTCATCTCCCAATTTTCTTCCAGCAACCGCTCCTTCAGAATTGACACCACAAAGCTCCAGCATAGGTACCAGCAACTACAGCGTCTTGTCCACCCGGATTTCTTCAGCCAGAGGTCTCAGGTATTTTATTGTATTTCCCCAAACACGTGTGCATACAGAGTGGGTGGCAGTGGCCTTGTAATTATGCTGTTATTAGGGACAGAGTTAGATAATGACCTCCACCCTACTGCAGCCTGACCCCAACAAGCCAGGCCCTTGAGATATCCGCTTACAGCTTTTCTCTGCCTTTCTAGACAACTTAGAAAAAGAAAGATACCTCATATAACACCAGTTCTATGTACTTTGGCCACTTCCTTGGGTGCCTGCCCATCAGCATATTATAAAAATTTGGGCATAGTGGTGCATGCCTGTAATCACAGGTACTGAAGAGGCTGAGGCAGAGGAATCTCAAATTAGAGGCTAGCCTGGCCAATTTAGTGAGACCTTTTCTGAAAATAAAAAATAAAAAGGGCTTGGGAAGTAGCTCAGTGCTCCCTGAGCTCAATACCTAGTACCACAAAAAAATAATAATAAATAAGGCCAGGCTTGGTGGGACATACATGTAATTGCAGCACGCAGGAGGTTGGGGTGAGGGGCTCTCAAATTTGAGGCCAGCCTGGGTTACATAGGGAGTTTTAGGCTAGCTTGGACTACAGAGCAAGACCCTGACTCAAAACAAAAATTAAATGAAAAGCGCTGAGGAAATAGTTCAATGTTCCCTGGTTTCACCTGTGGTACTACAAGGGAAATAAATGAATTTAAGAATACTGATTTCAGTGGTAATAAGACTATATTCATTTTTAACAGACTGAAAAGGACCTAGCAGAGAAGCATTCAACACTGGTGAATGATGCCTATAAGACTCTTCTGGCCCCCTTGAGCAGGGGACTATACCTAGTAAGGTGATTTCCCAACCTGTCTTTGTGTGACTTTGTCTTGCTCATTGTCATGTAGGACAGTTGCTTCCCCTGTATTCCATAGAAAAGTGCTTGAAACTTGAGTTAATCCAAGATCCCAGTGATATATAGCCTGAAAGATATTATACAAAGAAAAAAAAATACTGCGTAAGTATAGCTTTGTCTATTTTTTGTAAATCTTGCTTGTCCCAGTTGCATTGTTTTAACTATGTTCTGTAAGTTTAAAGAATTTGATGATGATAGTTTGTCAAGTTTTTCCCCCTGAGTGGTATTATATTCTGAATGGAGAACAGGATGTACTGAATTTGACCATAATTTCTTGAACCAAACTTATTTTTCTCCTTTTTCCATAATAGCTAAAGCTCTGTGGAACAGAGATTTCTGAAGGGACAGATTATGAAATGGACAGTCAGTTCCTCATGGAAATAATGGAAATTAATGAAAAACTTGCAGAAGCTCAAAATGAAGCTGCCATAAAAGAGATTGAATCCACTGTCAGAGGTAAAAGATAAAATACCACCGGATGCATTGTGTTGCTATTATGAGTCAAGGTTAAATGAGACACAATCATAAAGACTATATGTATATTGATCCAGGAAGTATTTTTTATCTGGATCATACTAATACCATTTTGTCTAGAAGTTAAATTTACAGCATTTCTAATCCTAGGAAGGCAGCCTTAAATGAAGACTATAATTATATTTTGCAGGTTGCAGTGATCTTTTCCACTCATGACATCATTTAGATACTATTATCTCTACCAAGGAAATCATGTCCCAGAAGTTTACAGAAATGTCCAACACCACACAGCAGACATGCAGCAGGGCAAACATTGAACCTTGATCTCCTGACTCATATTATTTGTCTTCTACTTTCTTTCATAACATGTTAATTGGGGGGGAAACTAATAGCATATAGAGATTTATTTTAAAGAATTAGCTCCTATGCTTATATGGACTGTCACATCAAAATGTATAGGGCAGGCCAGCAGGCTGTAAAGTCAAGTCAGATTTCTGTGTTATAGTCTTAAATTGAATTCCTTCTCCACTTAACTTGTACTTACACTTACTGCTTTTACTTGATTGGATGAGGCCTGTTATGATTTGTGTCTAGACATCTCCCTAAACATTCATGCAGTCATAGGGCTTTTTCTTAGGTGGCTGAATCTAGAGTGTATGATGTGGGGATTAACAGCGTGTGATCAGTTCACTGACTGGTTTGGTACCACCCTAATCCCAGCAGCCTAGACAGAGTATAAAAGGGGCAGAAAGACCCTATTAAGCTTGGCTGTTGCTTTCGCTGTCTCCCGCCCCATAAATTGTTGCCCCTCTACTGTGTGCCACCCTGCCTTGGAACCAGCCAATTAAGGACTGAAACCTCTACAAACTGTGAGCTAATAACGCTATCCTCCTTTAATTTTGGGTGATGAGTATTTTGTCCCAGCAATAAACAAAAGTAAGACAAAGTTCTCCCACAGTATCAAAGTTACTCTTTACTTAGTCATCTGAGGGGTAGGGATGCAACACAATGATAAGAACATGTGACTAGCATGTAGAATGCCCTGGGTTTGATTTATAGCAGTACAAATATGTCATACATATACAAATATATATATATGTACAGCCAACCAGTTCTAAAGAGCAACAGCTATAGTAGTGTTTGATCAACAGCTGGGCATCCCAGCCTACCCAAGTTGACACATAACAGTCATTCCACATGGAGAAGTTTCCAAGGTTCTTGTGTAGATTATATGCACTTGTGTATTTTCACAGATTTACAGTGTGCCTAATGTGTATCAAACACTATGCATGACAGTGAAGGAACAGCAGGCAACAAAAATGACATGGCTGTGCGGAGGGAGTTAAGGCCAGCCTGAACTACATAGCAAAACCCTGTCTGAAACAAAAGAGCCATGACGCAAGCTGAGCGTGGTTATACACACCTGTAATCCCAGCTTAGGCAGAAGTTTGAGCTCAGTCTGGGCAGCTTAGTGACCTAACAAGACTGTGTCTCAAAATAAAAAATAAAAAGAGATGTAGCTTTATTGTACCACCAAAAAAGATAGTCATGCTCCATCCCTTCACAGAGTTTATATATTCTAACTCAATGTATCCAAAATGGAACTGATCTGTCTCCTCTGTCTCACCGCCAAAACAACCTATTCCTCCTAGTGTTCCTTTTCTAAGTGTTCAACACGATAGGAGGAAACCTCAGGGCAGCCAGGAAGCAAAAAAAAAAGAGTAGGAGCCAGGCTTCCACTGTGTTCTTCAAGGGCATGCTCTCAGTAAGCCATTTCCTTCACCTCTTAAAAGCTGCACCATCCCCAGTAGCACTGCAGGCAGGGGACCAAGCCTTTGCCACACAAAGGCCTCTGGGGGACACTTGTCCACAATTATGGCAGCCTTTGTCCTACCCTGATTTTTTAAAATTATTCTATAGCCATTTTATAAGCCCTAGTGATTGCCTCTCAGATCTTTCATAGGTAGAAAAACAGTGTGACTAGAGTCACCCAGTTTTGTGTTAAGTAGCAGCTAATATCATGGTATCTGCAGAGACAAAGGTGAAAAAGCCTTAACCTTGAATCCAGTGCCTTACAGTATCGAAAGCAGTATGATTACAAAGTATTATTGCTTCATATCATGTCTATTTAAGTAGAAAAACTCAAATAATGGTTTTCTCTTTCAGTTAAACAAAAAGAATTTACTGAAAATGTGAGCAGAGCTTTTGAACAAGGTACTTCATTTCTTGACTTTCTTAAATGTGGAATGAAATTGTAAGTGTTGAGATATAACCATTTATTCAATAAGTAGTTATTATATGCATACCTTGTAATAGGTACATGTGGAGATAGAAAATGTATATAAATCTGGGAGAGTACTTTCGCAGCATACACAAGGTCCTAGGTTCAATCCCTAGTACCACCAAAAAATAAGAAGGAGGAAGATGAAAGTAAACTTGGGTTAGTTGTACATGTATATTGCAAACCCTAGGGCAACTGCTAAAAAATAGTGGAAAAAAGGAAATACGTAACTGACACACTGAAAAAAGTAAGAAAGTAAAATCATATAAGATGTTCATCCAGGTGTGGTGGTACATACCTGTAATCCCAGTACTTGGTATGCTGAAGCAGGATTACTGCAAGTTCAAAGCCAGCCTGGGCTACATAGTGAGTTCAAGGAGACTGAACTGCATAGAAAGACCCTGTCTCAAAAAAACAGGGAAAAAAAATGTTCAACCACTCAGGCATGGTGGCACATACCTGTAATCCCTGCACTGGGAAATCTGAGGCAAGAGGATCATGAGTTTAAGGCTAACTAGGGCTATATAACCGGATCTTGTCTTTTTAAAAAAAGGAATTTTTAAAAACTAGGCACAATGGCACACACCTGTAGCCCTAGTTACTTGGGAAGATTATAATGTCAAGGCCAGTCTGGGCAATTTATTGAGACCCTGTCAATAAAATTAAAGATTTTTAAAATGGCTGAGGATGTAGCTCAGTGGTAGGGCACTGCTGGGGTTGATCTCCAGTACTGAAAAAAAATAAAAAAGGAAACTGGGCATGGTGGCACATACTTGTAGCCCCAGCACTAGAGAGGCTGGAGCAGGAGGATCTCAAGTTCAAGGTCCACTTGAGCTGTATACATAGCAATTTTCAGGACCAGCCTATGCAACAGAGCAAGACCCAGTATTTAAGAAGAAAAATTTTCAAAAAGGAAAAAATAGGAACAACAGTTAGAAAACAGTAGTAAATGAGGTAGATATTAATCCAACTATATCTGTAATCACTTCGAACATCAGTTGTCTAAATGCATCAAGTATTGTTTTGTTTTGTGAGACAGGGTTTCATGTAGTACACGCTAGCCTTGAACTCACTATATATCCCATGCTGGCCTCAAATTCCTAGCAATTCTCTTGCCTCAGCCTCCTATGTGCTGGGATTACAGGCATGTGCCACCATGCCTGGCTAAATGCACCAATTAAAACCCAGAGATTGTCAGTAGATCAAAAAACAAGAGTGGGCCTGGGGATATAGTTCAGTGGTAGAGTGCCATCCTGGCTATATAGCCAGACCTTGTTTTTTTAAAAAAAATAAAAGCTGGGAGTGGTAGGACGTACCTGTAATCCCATCTACTTGGGAAGAATATAATGTCAAGACCAGCATGGGCAATTTATTGAGACTCTGTTTTTAAAATGAAAAATTTTAAAAATCACCTAGCACACATGAGGCCCTGGGTTCAATCTCCAGTACCACATAAAAAAGGAAGGTAAAGAAAAGGTTAACATGGTAAAATTTTATGTTCTGTATATGTATTTTACCCTAATGTAAAAATGTTTACATACCAAAAATACTTCATTAAATTTGTAAAGTGGAGGCTTGGGATGTGCCTCAGTGGTAGTGCTTTCTTGGTATTCATTAGGCCCTGGGTTTGATCCTCAACACTGTGAAAGACAAAGAGCACAACCATGGTCTTCGAAGTTCCTAGTAGCCCCTTTGCCATTATATCTCTCTTTGAAAATAACTGCTGTCTTGAATTTGTATTAATCATTCTTTTGGTTTTCTTGATCAGATCTTTGTAATCATACGTGAAAACAGCAGTCTGTCACTTAGTGTGCATATTTTGATCTTCATATAAATAGCATCATACCTTATGTGTTGTTCTCTGACTTGCCCTTTTTTTTTTCTTGTGTGGTATTGGGGATTGAACCCAGAGAGTATGAGCTACATCTTCAGCCCTTTTTATTTATTTAATTTTGAGACAGGATCTCCCTATGTTACCCGGGCTACCTCAGACTTGCTTTTTTGCATAACATTTTACTTCTGAAGTGGGTGACTGTAACATATCTTCAGTTTAGCACTCATTACCTTGTGTTATTTTTGTCTAAGTCAGGTTTCTCAACCTTGATGTCACCAACATTTTCAGTCAGATAATTCTTTGTTGTGGGAAGCTGTCCTGTACACTGTAAGATAGTATTTAGCATTATCCCTGGCTTCTACCCATTAGAAGTCTCTACTGCCTCCCTAGTTAGGACAACAGAATATTTCTCCAGAGATTCTCATACATCAGTGGGAGACAGAATCACCCCCAATAGCAAACCACTCATGTAAGGGCATCATTCACAGGGGCTGGAGCCCTCCTGAGGGCAGCTCTGTGCCTTGATGTCTGTCATAGGAGATGTATTAATCATTAGTGCTTCCGCATCCTTTTCAGGGTTGTTACCACCGTTTGTTTAGGGGAAAACTTTTAAAACACAGCAGATTTATTACTTGGGACTCTCCTAAAAAGAATCGGCTTCTCGAA